TCAGAGCATCACTGTTCTCAGTTTAGCATTAGACACTTTCTCACACAGCTCACTGAGGAATCAGGGAGCTGTGTGTTGTACTGCAGCACCGTCCTCCTCCTAGTGGACATGTGGAGAAGCACGTAGCCTACTAACCGCAGTGCTGATCCGGTCACTGCAGGCAGCTGGCACACAGACAACAACACTGTCCCTATAGAACATAATTCACTCCACAAAGGGACATCCTGTTCCTATACTGAGATCCGTGTCTACTGATCTGAGATCAGCACATTTCATGTACAAAGGTCATTCTATGTTTTACATATGCAGGCATACAAACATAAATATAAATATATATAATAATAAAGGAACAAGACAGATAAAAAAATCTACATAACATCAAAGGTGTGACGTAGTGCTTGTGCTGAGAGTTCAGTCAAAAGCAGAAAGAAAGAAGGAAGAAAGGAATACGTTTAATCTGGATTTAGGATGGCTGGAGTTGTTGCACGTCTGAGCTCATCCAGGAGAGCAATGAGGACATTCATTATTTACCACCGCTGTTACAGTTCTGTCTGAGATGTGGCCTGAAGTGCTTTAGACTGGACTGAGCCGGATCTAAAGGGGAATGTGAATGGACAATAGCGAGGGAGGTTTGTTGGGTGGGTGTGTAGGACAAGGACAGAACCACGTTCAACATCCCTGACCCAGAAACACTGAGAACACAGACCCAGTTAGAGAACAAAACAAACTCACAGTAGACTGACACATCCAGCAGCCAATAGAAGCACAACCAATAGAAAGCTGAGTTGATGACCGATGGGAGGGTGAATTACAGCTAGTAGGAGGCTGAATTTGATGACCAATGGCAGGCTGAATTATAGTCACTAGGAGACTGTGCTGATGATCAATGGGAGGCTGAATTACAGCCAATAGGAGGCTGAATTGATGACCAATGGGAGGCTGAATTACAGTCAATAGGAGGCTGAATTGATGACCAATGGGAGGCTGAATTACAGCCAATAGTAGACCATGTTGATGATCACTGGGAGGCTGAATTACAGCCAATAGGAGGCTGAGTTGATGACCGAAGGGAGGCTGAGCTGATGTCATATAGGAGACTGAGTTGATGTCAAATAGGAGGCAGAGGTGATGTCATATAGGAGGCTGAGGTGATGTCATGTAGGAGGCAGAGGTGATGTCATATAGGAGGCTGAGGTGATGTCATGTAGGAGGCAGAGGTGATGTCATATAGGAGGCTGAGGTGATGTCATGTAGGAGGCTGAGTTGATGTCAAATGGGAGACTGAGTTGATGGCAAACAGGAGGCTGAGATGATGTCATATAGGAGACTGAGTTGATGTCATATAGGAGGCAGAGGTGATGTCATATATAAGGGTTAGGTGATGTCAAATAGGAGGCTGAGCTGATGTCATATAGGAGGCTGAGGTGATGTCATATAGGAGGCAGAGGTAATGTCATGTAGGAGGCTGAGTTGATGTCATATAGGAGGCTGAGGTGATGTCATATATCAGGGTTAGGTGATGTCAAATAGGAGGCTGAGCTGATGTCATATAGGAGGCTTGGGTGATGTCATATAGGAGGCTGAGGTGATGTCAAATAGAAGGCTGAGCTGATGTCAAATAGAAGGCTGAGCTGATGTCATATAGGAGGCTGAGGTGATGTCATATAGGAGGCTGAGTTGAAAACTAATGAAATACTGAGTTGATGATCAATGGGAGGTTCAATTACAGCTAATAGGAGTCTGAGTTGACAGCAAATGGGAAGCTAAATTGACATCCAATACGAGGCTGAGTTAGGAGGCTGAGGTAACATCAGATAGGAGGCAGAGCTGATATCAAATAGGAGGTAGCATTAATAGCAAATTGGAGTCTGAGTTGGCAGCAAATAAGACACTGAGTTGTCGACCAATGAGAGGCTGAATTACAGCTAAAATGAGTGTGAGTTGACAGCAAATAGGAGGCTAAATTAATGTCCAATAGGAGGCTAAGTTGATGGACAACAGGAGGCTGACGGCTTTTTCCTACAAAAAATAAAAATATTGTGTTATTTATGCATTTAAAAATGTAAATAGAATATGTTATATTACCATTGTCATGTGGGCCAATAGGATGCTGAGGTAATGATCAGTAGGTCCAGTAGTAGGTTGAGCCAATGCACTATGATTAAATTCAATATATTGTTATACAGTATATTGTCAACATATTCCAAAACTGTAAGTGGAATATCTGGTAATACATGTTCAGTGTGTTTCTGGGTCAGCTGGAGGCTGTGTTGAAGGGCAAAAGCAGGCTGAGATGATGGCCAATGGAAGGCTGAGTTGTGGTGTAAGGGTGGGCTGGGGGGAGGGGCTTAAGGAGCTTAGCCCCCTGTAGCAGGAGGAGAGGAGACAAAGAATCTGCAGCCGTAGCAACAGCAGCATCAGCAGCATCTCTCTGCGTTTGTTGTCTGGATCCTAATCTGCCCGCCCGGAGAGGACCAGCACAGGTTGCGTCGTCTTGATCGCACTCTTCCTCAACATCCTCATCCTCTGAGCACGCACGCAGTCTAGAGCAGCCATGCCTGAGTGTTGGGACGGGGTGAGTGCCACTGGGCGGGGGGTTGTGGATGTGCGGGAATGCAGTGTCACTGTGTATAGCTGAGCAAAGGGAGGGTCTCTGTTTTGCATAATTGTGAAATACAGGATTTGAATGTGCTTGCATGCGTCTGTGTGTGTTTAAATGTATATGTTTCAAATTATTATATTAATGCTCTGCAAAAAAGAAGAGAATGAAGCTATTTTTAATAAGCATTTATTATAATATAAAAAAGGACAGAGCAAAAGCACACAATACGAACCAGGTAGAATAATATAATAGAATAGGAGACAGTCAAGGGATCAAGAGTGGGTCTGTATCAGCAGTCTATAACCAAAGAAGGAGCAATGATTTGACCTATTTCCTGTTTACAGTGTCATACTGCATGACTAGCTTATGGTTGGAGAATTTTTTATTGTGTACAAAGTCATTGTATTCATGTAAATATCCAAATTCAATTGTTTTAAATAGGAAAAGTAAAGACGCATGCTGTTGTTCTATTAAAATGGAAAAAAAAAAATCACTGAATTTCCACCCAGAACTACAAATTAACCCACAGCAGTGTGTGAGATATGAGTGTGAGTGATGACAGTGAGTGAGTCTGAAACATGATGGAAAGAAATTACTGTGAAAACTGAAGAGTCATGGGTGACATAAAAACATGCTGAATTGGTGCAGAGTCACCCACACACACACACACACACACACACACACACACACACACACACACACACCATGAATCAGCTCAATCAGAAAAACAGACAAACAAATGAACATCAATATTTATAAGCACAAGCATGCGGTGGTCAGGGCTGCTTATATTTATTACATGTTTTGACCCAATGTGTGTGTGTGTGTCAGAAATCTGCATTCAGGGACAAATGTATGACCTTGAGATTAATAGAGAAAGAGAATTACACCAAAGTGCTGCATTGAATTTGCTTGATTTAAATGTATACATTACATTAGACTGACTTGATTCAAATGTGTACATTATTTCCACATTAATAAAATACATTATTACAGCTTAATGCTGTCTTTCAGTTTGCCTAGCTTGGGCAGTGGCTGTTTTAATGCAATCTGTTTTATTCATGCAGAAATGTACACATTTGAACTGCCAGTCTTGCATACAGAAAGACTGGAGTGTATCTTGATTGAAATGAATATGAATAAATACATATTCCTATCATTATGGCATTGTAAAGCAAATAAATGCCACACATCCCTATGTCTCTCTCTCACTCTGCCTCTCTCTCTCTCTCTCTCTATGTATATATATATATATATATATATATATATATGTATTTATATATATGTAGATAGATAAACATTGATCTTATTATTGCATATAGGTACATTATTATTATTATCACATAGTCAGATCTTCATATGACATCATTCTAAAATGTGTACACACAGTTTGACCCAGAAATAATCTATTCATATGTTCATATTCAGCACATGGTGAAATAAAGACATGCACAGGTTTACTGTGTGTGCGTGTGCGTGCGTGCGTGTGTGCGTGCGCGTGTGTGTGCGCTGCACGCTCTGTAAAGCTCCTGACAGGCGTAATCCTGCAGCAGAGCGAAAACATCACGCATGCTGCGTGTGGCATGTGAGATGTAGGTCAGTGCGGATTTGAGACGAACAAGAAAAAACTCCCAGCAAAACTGTGCCAGCTGCTGCACAGGCCAGAGAGAGTGTCCTGCTCGTTAATTAATTAGGGATTAATTAGTCTACTTTTGATTTCAGAGTGGAGTAATCATATACTATTCAGAGTATTTATGATGTTCTGTTTCAAATCATTTGAGCTAAATTTCTATTGTTTGCACTTCTAACAATTTCCTTAGAGAGTAAAGTAAATGCTACATTTAGATTTTAACATGAATATATAAGATTTTAAAGCAGTCAATTTGGATTCAGTATCATATATATATATATATATATATACACACATACATATATATATATATATATATATATATATATATGTATCTTATATGCACATTTCATGATTGATATCTGTATATAGAGTTATAGACCATAAAGTCATGATTTTACAGCATAAATACATGGCTTAGTATAATTTGTGAAATATGCTGTGTACATACAAAGGAAATTACATCCAGGTTTAAAACAATGACCCAGTTTGATGGATATTTTTGGTTGTCCAGCTGTATGTTAGTCCATGTCTATATTTAAATGTCATCACATCAGAGGGTTTTGTCAGTAAAGGTCACAGCTGACTACGGGCTTCTGCTCTTATTCACTGTTTCTGGGTCAGTTTACAGTTTTACCACATAATGGCAAAGACCTGGAGATAAAGCAGGAGAAACTGATCCTGCATCAGCACAGCTGTTCTAACCCCCTCTGTGGAAACAAGCCTGGATTATGAAATGATTGGAATGTTTATGTTTGTATGTTTTAGGAACATGACATTGACACTCCCTATGGGTTGCTCCATGTGGTGATCCGCGGAGCTCCGAAGGGCAACAAGCCCGCGATCCTCACCTACCACGATGTAGGACTCAACCGTAAGTATCTTTATGTATATTTCATATAAAACACATACTTATGCTTATTATTGCGTACGGATACTTACATACAATAAGTATTTGATCCCCCACTGATTTTGAAAGTTTGTACTCTGACAAATAATTAAACAGTCTATGATTTTTATGGTAGCTTCATTTTAACAGTGAGAGATGGAATATCAAAAAGAAAATCTAGAAAATTAAATAATATTTAAATCAAAAATAATTTGCATTTCATTGAGGGAAATAAGTATTTGATCCCCTAAAAACCATGACTAATGTTGGCTCCCACAGACCACTGACACACCCTAATCTCAGTGAAGTCGTTACCTGCATGAGAGACACCTGTCCCAAATTGTCACCTGTATAAAAGGCCACCTGCCAACAGATTCAGTGACACTCCAACATCTCCACCATGGGCAAGACTAAAGAGCTGTCTAAAGATGTCAGGGACAAAACTGTTGACCTATACAAGGCTGGAATGGGCTACAAAGCCATAAGTAAGAAGCTGGATGAGAAGGTGACAACTGTTGGGGCAATTATTCGGAAGTGGAAGAAGTACAATATTACTGTCAATCGACCTAGGCCTGGAGCTCCATGTAAGATATCACCTCGTGGAGTCTCACTGATCATGAGAAAGGCTAAAAATCAGCCAAGAACTACACGGAAGGAGCTGGTTAATGATCTCAAGGCAGCTGGGACCACAGTCTCCAAAAAAACCATTGGTAATACACTGAGACATAATGGTTTAAAATCCTGCAGTGCACGCCAGGTTCCTCTGCTCAAGAAGGCTCACGTCCAGACCCGCCTCAAGTTTGCCAATGAACATATTAATGACTCAGAGAGAGACTGGGAGAAGGTGCTGTGGTCAGATGAGACCAAAATTGAACTCTTTGGCCTCAACTCAACTCGACGTGTTTGGAGGAAGAAAAATACAGAATATGACCCTAAGATCACCATCCCCACCGTCAAGCATGGTGGTGGAAGTATTATGTTTTGGGGGTGTTTTTCTTCTAAGGGCACAGGCCAACTTCACCGCATCGATGGGAAGATGAACGGGGCCATGTATCGCAAAATCCTGGGTGACAACCTCCTTGCCTCCGCCAGGGCACTGAAAATGGGTCGTGGATGGGTCTTCCAGCACGACAACGACCCAAAACATACAGCCAAGGAAACAAAGGAGTGGCTCCATAAGAAGCATATCAAGGTCATGGAATGGCCTAGCCAGTCTCCTGACCTCAATCCCATAAAAAATCTATGGAGAGAGCTGAAGCTTCGCGTTTCCAAATGCATGCCAGATTTGGAGATGATCTGCAGAGAGGAGCGGGCCAAAATTACTCCTGAAGTGCAAACCTTATGAAAAACTACAAGAAACGTCTGACCGCTGTGCTTGCCAACAAGGGTTTTGCCACCAAGTATTAAATGATGTTTTACTAGGGGGTCAAATACTTATTTCCTTCAGTGAAATTCAAATTAATTTTTATTTCTCATTTCTTGTAATTTTCTCAGTTTTTCTTTTGATATTCTATGTGTCACTGTTAAAATAAAGCTGGCATAAAATTATGAGATGTCTCATTTATTTTTTTTGTATTAAAACTTTTAAAGTCAGTGGGGGATCAAATACTTATTTCCTCCACTGTACATACTATGTATGAGACATACTATAACATGTAGGTACTTAAATAAATATAATACTGTGGTGTCGGCATAGGTGGAGATGCGGGAGAGGCTGTTATTTCTGCCACATGTTGTTCCACCGGCAGGAGTACCTGGAGTCCTTCCAGGACTAGGCACTGCTAGTCCTGGAAAGGACTAGCTGTGCCATGATGCTGGGCGGCCATTTGCAGTGCATAGTAGGGCTCCCATGCACCTTTACCATTATAGCGCAGTAGGCGGATATGTACGGTCTCTCTTTTGCCAGGCCTTGGCTGAGCCCTGCCACCGACTACCACTACATCATCTCTTCCGCCATCTTCTCTTTCACTGGCTTCTCTCTCACCTGCTTCTCTTCTTCTTTGCTGTCCACCTATAAGTTTTTTGAAGTGCCATTCCACTTCTTGCTACCTGGCAGCAGTATTCCACTTCTGACACCACTGTAGTGTTGGTGAAAAAGAGAGAGGAAATGAGGAATGACAAGGAAAGAGGTGACAGAGACAATGAGTGTGAGAGATGGAAAGAAGAAAAGAGAGGGAGAAGATAGAGAAAGAGAGAGATGAAGTGGGAAGAGATAGTAATAGAGGAAAAGAGGAGAGAAAGAGAGAGAAGGAAAGGGGTGAGATAGAGAAACAGTGAGAGAGGGTAAGCAGGGGAAGGAGAGAGAGAAAAAGTGAAAGGGAGAAAACGATAAAGAGGAGAGAAAGAGAGAGGGAAAGGTGAGATGAAGAGAAAAAAAGAGAAATAGGGAGAGAGAAAGAGAAAGAGAAGAACAAAAGAGAGAAAATGAGAGTTCTAGATAAAGAGATACCAACTGCCATTATGTCGTTTTTTTCCGCCATCTTCTCTCTCACCAGCTTCTCTTCCTCTTTGCTGTCCGCCTGTAAGTCCACTTCTTGCCTCATGGAAGCTCTGTCCCACTTCTGACACCATTGTAGCATTGGTGAAAAAGGAGATGCGAGAGAGGCCATTATTTCTGCCATGAGAAGTGCTTTTATTTTTTTTTATTTTTACAAGCAGAAAAGGCACATTGGTACATGTTCCAATTACATATAGTTCTTTTTGTAATAGGTGTTAAATGCAATACCTGATAAAGTGAAAACAAATGTGTTTGTGTAAGTTTCTGGCACTCTGCAACACCATCTGTCTTCTGTAGCACCTCGACGAAGATAATAGACTAACTATGCATGTGTGAGTCCTTTGTGTATATTTATGGAGTTCTCAGCTCAGGATGAGTGGAGCTCATATCTGTGCATGGAGGTGTTAATTGGATAACGGATTACATTATCATTGTGCTACTTTAGTAAAAAATGAAAAAGCCAGCTAACTTCAGTTCATCTTTTGTTGTAAATATTAGAAAGATTATATAAAACAATCATCAGAAAGCCTGTCCTTACATAAGCCCCAGTTATCCATTAATGGGAGGATTAGAGTTATGAAAGGATTTTTTGGTCATCTGATTTGGCGAGTAATTTTTGCTTTGGGTCACAGCGGGACGTAGCGAGTACCTTCATCTTCTTTGATGCCCCAGTACACCAAAAAATTGATCTGAATGTGGACATTGTTTCTATATGAATAAAATATATTACATCAACACAGTTATTACCAAAGCAAGTAAACTGCTAAACTCAATTTTTTTTCATTCAGGTGGGCCTCGATTGGAGTATCATTTTGTTACTGTCGGAAGAAAACCTTGTATCTCCAAAATGGTAACTTTACAGGAGAAGGAAAAAACATGCTTTACTTTTAATGTAAGTCAATGGAACCAGACATTTTCCCAAGTCATTTGGGATCATTTATTTTAGTCCATTCATCATGAAATTTACAGACAATGTAAAGAGCAACGGGTATTTTCAAATTATGTCAAAAACTGAAAAACGTCAAACATGGAGATACGAGGTTTTGTTCCGACAACAGTGATTTGCTGATGTCACTAACACAAATCATCCAAAATTTCTTGAACAACAATCTTTAACATTAACTTCCATCACAAGTAAACAAGGTTTCTTCATTCTTCTGAAAGTTCCCATTTTAGAAATGCAAGATTTTGTTCCAGCAGTGCAGAAAAACATTTGCATACATCTGTATAGTATGTACATTTATGTGTCCCTGGTCAAATGACGTGTTTTCAAGATTTTCTGCGTGAGAATAAGTGAACACGTCCTCTACAGAGAACACACTTCTGTACCAACAAATGCACAATTGCTGTTTATTTGCTGAATCTTACCATACTGAGGGAGAAAAGTGCTTTTTAATTAAAGCGTATTTTATATTTTGTCATCAGTACAGAGTAGGAAACAGGAGAGACCATGATTCTGCTGTGAGCAGTGCTTTTTTATTGAAACACCAGCAAAAAGGCACGAACGAAACACAGCCGCGGTGCAGGCAGGTCACCTCTAGCCATACAGCTCCACTCAACACAGTCCACTCTGACTAAACCCATTCCCCAACACAGAAAAACACAATAAACACATACACATACCTTTAAACTAACAAACAACAACATCAACATCATAAATGTCCCTTTTTATGGGGAGTGTGCAGCACCCATGAGCCTCTTTGCATGGCCCTCTGCATGGCCACGCCTCCTGAGCCTCGCAAGTGGCCAGTAGTGGGACACTACCTCTTTTTTTCATGTTTTATTTTTCCCTCAATGTGTTAAAGTAAACAAATAAATAGAAATTGTGCACTAAAATTGGTAGAAAAGGCCATCATGTTGTTCTCTGTACAGGATATACAGTATTTACTAGCAGTGTACAGATACACTGCGGCTCATTTGGAATCTTTTAGCTCAGTGTGTCTCAGAGGTCACATCTGTGTGTGTGTGTGTGTGTGTGTGTGTGTGTGTGTGTGTGTGTGTGTGTGTGTGTGAGCCTCAGCCACACACACTCGACCTTCAAACAGCCACATCCGTCTGTCTGACAGCATCCAATTACTGCTCTCCTTCAGCTGCAGCATCACTCTATCATCAATACTGAGAGAGACACACACACACACACACAGAGAGAGAGAGAGAGAGAGAGGAATGAAGCTCTCCTCAGCTCTCTATATCATCCTCTTGTTTTCCATTTTCCTTTCCTCCTTAATCCATTCCTCCACTTCTTCCACTTCTTCCTCGGCTCATCCATACATCCTCCCTCTAATCCTGCAGCACACTCTCTCCCGAGAGGGAGAGGGAGAGGGAGAGGGAGAGGGAGAGGGAGAGAGAGAGAGAGAGAGAGAGAGAGGAATGTAGGGCAGAAAAACATCCATATCATGTGACTCGTGTTGGCGAGGGTCAGCACTGCAGAGTCTATGTATATGTATATGTGTATATATATCTTTCATTCTGTCTATTTTTCTACATCTCTCTCTCTCTCTCTCTCCTTCTCTCTCTCTCTCTCTCTCTCTCTCTCTCTCTCTCTCTCTATATTGCGGTCTTCTCAGCTGCAGATGTTCACATTAGTATTCACAGCAAGACTTGAAGTCACCTGACTCACTGAGTCAGAGAGAGAGAGAGAGAGAGAGAGGAGATGAAGAGAGAGGAAATGAAGAATGAAGAGGAAAGAGGAGACTGAGACAATGAGAGAGAGAGATGGAGAGAGGAAAAGAGGGAGAAGATAGAAAATGGAAGAGAGAGATGAAGTGGGTGAGATAATGACAGGGGGAAAGAGGAGAAAGAGAGAGTGAGAGAAAAAGAGAGGAAGAATAAAGAGAGCCAGTGAGGAGGGAAGGAGACAGAGATGGTGCTGGAGAGAAAGACAAGAAAAGGGGTGAGTTGGAGAAATAGGGAGAGAGGGATAGAGGAGGAAGGAGAGAGAGAAATAGAGAGAGAAAGAGGAAAACAAGAGAGAAAAAAATGAGAGAACTAGAAAAAGAGAGAGAGAGAAAGGAGAATGAGAAGAAGAAGGAAGAGGGAAAGGAGAGAGAAAGAGAGAAACAGAAATGGGGATGAGAAAGAAAAATAGAGAGAAAAAATGGGGACGAGAAAGAAAGAGAAAGAGAGAAAAATAGATAGAAGATAGAGATAGAAGGAAAAAGGAGAAAGAGAGGGAAAGAGGAGAAATAGAGAGAAACAGAAATAGGGAGAGAGGGGCAATGAGAAAGAAAGAAAGTGAAATAGAGAAAAAGAAAGAGAGAGAAAGAGGAGAAAGAGAAAGAAAGGGAAAAAGGAGAAAGAGAGAGATAGAAAGAGAAGAAAGAAAGAAAGAAAGGGAAAGAGGAGAAAGAGAGAGAGGGAAAGAGGAAAGAGAGAAAGAAAGGGAAAGAGGAGAAAGAAAGAAAGGGAAAGAAAGAGAGAGAGAGAGAGAGAGAGAGAGAGAGAGAGAGAGAGAGAGAGAGAGTGGGAGACGGAGGAGAGGAGGGCTGCCCTGTATAGAGGGTGGCGAGTGATGGAGGGAGGATAGAAGTGGGTCAGTTTGCCGGAGGGCTGCAGGGGTGGGCTCATGATTCACTCTTCAGTGCAGAGCCTTTTTGGACGGACAGTGTGTTTGTGTGGGCGGAGTGACCCGGGACCCTCGGAGCCCCTCTGCGCTTTTACAGCACTGGTGTGTGTGTGTGTGTGTGTGTGTGTCTCATTAAACGCGGTGATTTGCTCGTGGACTCACACAGTGGCGGTTTGTTGTTGATGTGATGTGATGTGATGTGGTGTGATGTGATGTGGTGTGATGGTTCAGTATGAAGGGAGTCGTTAGTCTCGCTTCAGTTGTTTGAGATTCTGGAACAGGATGTAAACAGGCCATCAGCTCTAGAGGGAGGAGTTCCACCCTTTACTCATTTATGAAAGTTGAGGCGGGTAATTGTGGCTATTTGGGCCAGCTTATAGTCCAATATAGGGCCAATAATAAATATTATCGAAAATGCAATTAGGAGTACCACTTACAATTAGAATAACCTTTAATGTGTTAATGAAGGGTTTAAAGTTAGTTCATTCATGATTATTAATTATGCTTAAACACTTTAAAATCATTAATAAGCAGTTGTAACACAAATAAAAAGGGCAGCAGATCTGTTATGTCAGAAGAACATGAATATCTGATGATTCATGGTAAAGCAAAATAAGCAACCAGGTTTAACAGTATAGATGAATGTGGATTCACTATTTGGCAAGAGGCAGGTCACTGTTACAATGTTATAATGTTAAAATGTGTTATAATGGCTTATCAATGATTTTTAATATTTATAACCCAACTATAACCTTTAATAAACTCATTTTAAACCATTCTTAAACCCTTTGTGAGGGTAGACTTATTAGTACCTAATTAAATACTGATATTATGTGAATTATCATTCTTTTGTTCTCTTTCACTTTCTAATTTTTGGTTGGTTAACAATGTAGACAATAGAAAAAAATGATCATAAGTTATATCAGGGGTTGGCAACCCAAATGCTAAGAAGAGTCATTTTCAACAAAAATCTAGGCACCTTGGGAGCCACAACATTTTATGTCCATTTTACTGAAGCAACGTTTCACCATTGTGGCTGTAAATATGTCTCAGTACATGCTGATGTGCTAGTATAGCCTAAAAAATATAATATAAATGAAAATGCAGACTTACTTTGCTCTAAGCTTTAGGTCAGCTATAGCCCCTTTTCTCACATCTCCAGCAGGAAACATTTCCGCAAAGGTAGAGCAGTTTATTATAAAATGTCTCTCAACATTGGACTTTTTACAAAGCTAAGGTCAGTTTCTCATTCACCAGCTTCTTGTTTGAATTTCCCATTCCACCTTAAATTGTGCCTGAGGCACCAGAATGTAGCTAACTATGTAGCTAACTGGTGCATCATTTAAGGTGGAACGTGAAAATTCGCACAAGAAGCTGGTGAATGAGAAGCGACTTCAGCTTCACGACTTTTTAGTGTTTGTCAGTTGCTGGTTGCAGATTAAACGTATCAGGAAACCAGCTGGAGTGATTATAAATGCGTCTCCAAATTATCAATGTTCGTCTTAAATCTTTCTCTTTGCCGTTTCGTTAGCTACTAGCTGGGCGAGACTGTTGTCAGTGTCGCTATGGTGACCAGCAGTCTGCGCTGATCTTCAGAGTTAAAGGGTGAATTAGCAGTTCTACATTAACTCCAGAGTTTAAGATCATTTATTGTTAAACTGTGTTGAACGATCAGCAGAGCTTTATTTTACTGTAAAGGAGGATTATTTTATTTTTACCTACAAATCTAATTCTGCTGTGGAGCCACAACAGGACAGTAAAAGAGCCGCATGTTGCCGACCCCTGAGTTATACAAACATCAACTAATAAAGTAATCATATATACTTTAAATGGCACTTAAATGCACCAACGCACCAGTTTGGTTTCCAGCCAAACGAACACAGAGAATCACTAGATGTTAACAGTGTCATCTGGGCAGAATACTGTCATTTTAAATTATTAAGAAATATTACAAGCCACCCCAGTTGTTAATTAAATACTTATATTGAATTATATAGTGTAATTTCATCACCATTAGGGAAAATTCGAGCTGTAGGCTAAGCCTCTGTAATGATCACGTGATACTTTGTAGCTGAATTTGGATCACGATGATGTTGTTTGTCGCAACAATTCATTATCGGCCAAGCTTAGTGATCTACTAACACTAAGCACATCACTAGGTTATTAGGAATACGCTATATAGCCAAAAGTATGTGGACACCTGAGCATCTCCTCTGCTGCAGAATGTGTTTTACTCCACTCTAGCTGATGCTCAGCATTGTGCATGGCCTCTGTGCAGCTGCTGTGGTTGCCATGGTAACCCCATCCATGAATCTCCACATGAACAGGTCTTGTGCTGACGTTGCTTCCAGGTACAGTTTGGAACTGTTCTGAAATAGCCAAACGTTTTAGAAGGGGTGTCCACATACTTTTGCCATACTTACACATACTTGTCGTGTATGTGGCCTTTACTTTTTACCATATGAGTGAAGGATTCAATTCAATTAAATGAAATAATATCATATTAATAGTGCTAAAAATATTTATTTTTGTAAATATTATTAATATTAAAATGTAAAAGTATTGCGATTGTAATGACTGTAACAAAAAGTTTGCTACAAAGGAATAAAGGTAGCAAAGTTGAAGATTTGTCTTCCACTATTTGCTGGTTAGATAAAAATGTATTCTATTTCTCTCTCTCTCTCAGACAAGTTGTGCTTCAACACTCTGTTCCATAATGAGGACATGCGGGAGATCACTAAGCACTTTGTAGTTTGCCATGTTGATGCACCTGGCCAGCAAATCGGAGCTCCTCAGATGCCACCAGGGTATGAACACACAAAAACATACACTGCTGCTCTCAGACTGGGTTGTTCTACCTACTTTGCCCTCATTCTGATTTTTTTTACCCATCTGAAGATATCAGTACCCCACCATGGACCAGCTGGCAGGTATGCTGCCCAGCGTTGTGCAGCACTTTGGGTGAGTATGACTATAGTAATATAGACTGGGTTAGTATGTCTAGATTAGTATGGTTTAGAGTAGGTCAGTATGCTTAGATCAGACTTCGTGAGTATGGTCAGATTAGAGTGGGTGATAATGTGTAGATTATTTTTAAGCATGGTTAGATCAGAGTGAGTGAGTATGGTTAAATTAGAGTGAGTGAGTATGGTTAAATTAGAGTGGGTGAGTATAGTTAGATTAAAGTGGGTTAATAATTTTAGAGGACAGTGAGTGAGTACAGTTAGATTTCAATAGAGTATGGTTAGAGTGGGTGAGTATAGTTAGATTAGGGTGGGTGAGTATAGTTAGATTAGAGTGGGGGAGTATGGTTAGATTAGAGAGTGGGTGAGTATAGTTAGATTAGAGTGGGGGAGTATAGTTAGATTAGAGTGGGTGAACATGGTTATATCAGAGTGAGTGAGTATGGTTAGATTAGAGTGGGTGAGTATAGTTAGATTAAAGTGGGTGAGTATGGTTAGATTAGAGTGGGTGAGTATAGTTAGATTAGAGTGGGTGAGTATAGTTAGATTAGAGTGGGTGAGTATGGTTAGATTAGAGTGGGTGAGTATAGTTAGATTAGAGTGGGTGAGTATGGTTAGATTAGAGTGGGTGGAGTATAGTTAGATTAGAGTGGGTGAGTATGGTTAGATTAGAGTGGGTGAGTATAGTTAGATTAGAGTGGGTGAGTATAGTTAGATTAGAGTGGGTGAGTATGGTTAGATTAGAGTGGGTGAGTATAGTTAGATTAGAGTAGGTGAACATGGTTATATCAGAGTGGTGAGTATAGTTAGATTAGAGTGGGTGAGTATGGTTAGATTAGAGTGGGTGAGTATAGTTAGATTAGAGTGGGTGAGTATGGTTATATCAGAGTGGGTGAGTATGGTTAGATTAGAGTGGGTGAACATGGTTATATCAGAGTGGGTGAGTATGGTTAGATTAGAGTGAATGCGTATGGTTAGAGTGGGTGCGAATGATTAGATTAGAGTAGGTGAATATGGTTATATCAGAGTGGGTGAGTATGGTTGGATTAGAGTGGGTGAGGATGGTTAGAGTGGGTGAATATGATTAGATCAGAGTGGGTGAGTATGGTTAGATCAGAGTAGGTGAGTATGGTTGGATTAGAGTGGGTGAGGGTGGTTAGAGTGGGTGAGTATGGTTAGATTAGAGTGGCTGAGTATGGTAAGATCAGAGTGGGTGAGTATGGTTGGATTAGAGTGGGTAAGGGTGGTTAGAGTGGGTGAGTATGGTTAGATTAGAGAGGGTAAATATTGTTAGCTTAGAGTGAGTACAGTTAGATTAAAATAGATGAGTATGCTTAGATTCGAGTTGATGATAAGGCATTGATTAGAGTGGATGAGGATGAGTATGAGCACATTCTCATCTAAACAATGATACTTTTATTCTCCATCACCAGATTTAAAAGCATTGTGGGAATTGGAGTTGGGGCTGGTGCCTACATCCTCGCCAAGTTCGCTGTAAGTGTCTTAGTAATGAGTCTGTGTATTGATGTCGCTGCATTTTGAAGACAGCCTGAAGCAATGAGGGCTAAACATGCTCGCTCTCTCTCTCTCTCTCTCTCTCTCTCTCTCTATCTCTCTCTCTCAGTTGATCTTCCCTGATCTGGTGGAGGGTCTCGTCCTGCTCAATATTGATCCCAATGGGAAGGGCTGGATCGACTGGGCCGCCACTAAACTGTCTGGACTGACCAGCACCTTGCCAGACATGGTCCTACCACACCTCTTCAGCCAGGTGAGCAAATAAGAACCAGCATTCTATAATTAATTTGTTAATTAAATGACTATTTAGTGACAACAATAACAAACAACAACAACACCAATAATAATACATTTATTCTAATTATTAATTAACGATGGACTGATTTTTTTTCAATTATTTATATTGCTGCTAGATTGCAAACTACATTGCATATTTATATAAGGAAAAAACATAAAAAACATTTTCCACTACAGTGGAAATTGAAGTTCTAATCTAATCTAATCTAAAAATATTACTCTCATATGAGAGGCATTTTCAGCAGAGGTCCAGAAGATTAGTATGCCTGGTTTAACTAATGAGGGACATGATAATGATTACTGGATGAGTTGATGCAGAAGCAGAGAAAACATTATAATGAGCAGTGAGTGTACAGGACTACAGCTGCAGCACACGCTTCATCCAGCTTTAATGGAAGATGTTGCTTTTTGCACTGTTAACTGCAGGAGGAGCTGATGAACAACACAGAGCTGGTGCAGAGCTACCGTCAGCAGATCAACAACACCATCAACCAGTTCAACCTGCAGCTCTTCTGGAACATGTACAACAGGTAAGCAACAGCACCAGTGCAGACACGTCTTCCATAAACCTTTCAAGCAGATTAATGAAAATATAGTATGATACAGTATAAATCTGCATTAATATATTACATACTGTATTGCTTAATATATGTACTATACTTAATATACTGTTTTACTTACTATACATACTATAATATACTACATTCATTAAAATCTCCATTATATATGTGTGTGTGTGTGTGTGTGTGTGTGTGTGTGTGTGTGTGTGTGTGTGTGCAGAAGACATACAGATTAAATGCATAATTCATATTGGTCAACCACAACAACAACAACAATAATAATAATACATTTAAAAAATATACATAATCAATGTACATAATCCATATTTATACATGTAACCTCAAAAAACGATCTATATACAGTCGTGTGCAATAGTTTGGACACTGCTCATCAAAAGACGTTTTGTTTTATACATTATATTATATTGTTTTGTACAGTGCTGTGCTAAATTTTTAGGCACCAGAGAAAATTCTATTTGAAAGTTATTAAAAAATTGAAGTGATATTTTTAGAAATTATACATTTTAAATTGATATTTTAAAAACTTTGTTTTTGTTCTTTATGAAAGCTTTTTTTCTTTATGCAGCTCGTAAGAAATCCTATTTTTTTTTTTAAACAAAGGATTTCATATTACATTTTACAGCATTACTGTTTGTTTTCATTCATTCACTAATATTAAAAGGAGTTTTTACAAGCAAGTGATAGTTCACATTAATTCATTTTAAACAGTTTGCTTAAGGTTATTTTCGACTTTTGCGCAGTACTATATATATATATATATATATATATATAATATATATACACACACACACACACACACACACACACACACACATATATATATATATATATGTATATATATATATATATATATATATATATATATATATATATATATATATATTACAAACTATGTACTGCAGTAGTTTGGTATGTTTTTAATGTGCATTTCTGTGAATATATATTATCTACATATGTATTAGAATATATATCTTAATATATTTATAGATCATTCATCTGTTGGTTAGAAAGGATTAACTGAGATTTCTGTGTGTTTTATGTTGCAGTCGTAGAGATTTGGAGATGAACCGCAGTGGGACTGTGCTCAACGCCAAGACCCTGAGGTGTGTTTTTCACACCTGTGTGTGTGTGTGTGTGTGTATATGTGTGTGCTCTGTACAGTCAGACACATAAACTCTACTGTGTGTCAGTGTGGAGGTAACTAATGCTTCCTGTGTCCTGTAGGTGCCCAGTGATGCTGGTCGTTGGTGATAACGCTCCAGCAGAGGAGGGCGTGGTGAGTCTCTCAGCTTTTCTCTAACACTCCATTGATCATTGCTTTTGCTGTAGCTGGAGTCACATCATTAGATAAATACACCATTAGATAAATAGAGTCATCCAACTCTGAAAACGGATAATCGTTAATCTACAGCATGCTAAAGTTATTAAAGTCATTATTATTCTCACGCGCAAAGCAAATGCAGATAGGAGTAAAACATGCCCATAAGGCATAATAAATATGGCTAGAATATATATTGCATTTTATAAATATTTATAGCCATGTTTATAATGCCTTGTGAATGTATTTTAATGTATTATGAATGTTAATGTATTACTCATAGATTCAGTAGAAACAGTCTCTCCTTATGCAGTTTTTTCCCTTGTATATGACTCAGCAAATAAACAGTAATTGTGTATTAAAATGTGCAGACGTGTGCTCTCTGTAGAGGATGTGTTCACTTATTTTTTTTACTTAGAAAATCAACAGAACTTGTAATCTGAGCATGGGTGCCAAAACTTTTGCACATGGCTGCATGTGTGATCTGCTTCAGAGTGTCAGACTTTCTCTCGCTCTGCTGTGTCTCTGTGGTGTGTTTGGCTCTGTGAGGGGATGTTTTGTCCTCATTCAGAAAAACAGAAGCAGGTCAGTCGTCTTTCTCTCTTTCTCTCTCTCTCTCTCTCTCTCTCTCTCACCCCTCTCTCTCTCTCTCTCTCTCCTTTCTCTCTCTCTCCCGGGGACAGATGGCACAGGCTTTAGGCGCGCTCTCTCTGGGCTGTGTTAGCTGTTCTCTGTGTTAGCTGCTCATCTGTGCCAGATATTTTTTATGCCGGGCGAGTGCCGGGTCAGTGCGCCTTCACATCCCATCAGACCAACAGCGTGTGAGAGAAAAATAGAGGGAAATGAGAGAGAAATAGAAAAAATATAAGATGTGAAATGGGGGAGAAGAGGGAGATGAAAGTAAAGTAGGGCAAAGATAAGAGAGAGAGAAAAAGATATGAGCAAATGAATTAGAGATTAAATGAGAGAGAGAGAGGAGAGAGAGAGAGAGAGAGAGAGAGAGGATGAATTCAAGGCACAGAGAGAAGCGAAAGCAAGAAGAAAATGGAATGTTCGACTGGAGAGATAAAGAGAAACAAGCAGAAAATCAGGAGCAGAGAGAAGTGAAGAAGGGCAGAGAGAGAAGGAAACAGAAATGAGTCAGCTGAGTGAGAAAGATACAAATCAAAAAGTGTTTCCATAGCGATGTTCTGGAGGCTGATAATTTGTGCACCAACTCATGAGCTACAGTCTGTAATGTACACCAGTATAGTGGAGCTGTAAAGTGGCCAGTTAGTAGAGGTACAAGGTAATAAAGCGGCCAGTGAATGCAAGTACAAGGTAGGTGTTTCTAATAAAATGGCCAGTGAGTGGAAGTACAAGGTAGGTGTTTCTAATAAAGTGGCCAGTGAATGGAAGTACAAGGTAGGTGTTTCTAATAAAGTGGCCAGTTAGTGGAAGTACAAGGTAGGTGTTCCTAATAAAGTGGCCAGTCAGTGGAAGTACAAGGTGGGTGTTTCTAATAAAATGGCCAGTGTATGCAAGTACAAGGTAGGTGTTTCTAATAAAATGGCCAGTGAGTGGAAGTACAAGGTAGGTGTTTCTAATAAAGTGGCCAGTAAATGGAAGTACAAGGTAGGTGTTTCTAATAAAATGGCCAGTGAGTGGAAGTACAAGGTAGGTGTTTCTAATAAAGTGTCCAGTTGGTAGAAGTACAAGGTAGGTGTTTCTAATAAAGTGGCCAGTTAGTGGAAGTACAAGGTAGGTGTTTCTATTAAAGTGGCCAGTAAGTGGATGTACATGGTAGGTGTTTCTAATAAAATGGCCAGTGAGTGTACAGTGTTGGCTACAGTCCTCTGTGTGTATGTGTGTGTGGAGGAGAAGCTGCAGGCGTCTGCAAATGTGCAGCCACTGCTGGAGTGACTCATCACTGCAGTCCTGCAATATCTGGGTCAGCATGCACACACAGAACTAGACCACTCAAACACGAATATGCACTCTGTCACAGACATGCAACCCCCCCCATTCCCTCCCCCTCTCTCCGCCTTTCTCAGCACTGCTGTCTCTCTCACCTAACACAACACGTCTATTTATAAACCATCACTTACCCTGCAGTAACAGTACATGGCAGCTGAGTGTGAATTTCTTTCTGGCCTAAAATTAAAATGTGACCCAGTTGCCTCACATGATGTTTACTTTAAAAATGTGATTTCTGTTTTTTTAGGTCGAGTGTAACTCCAAGCTGGACCCCACCAACACCACATTTCTCAAGGTGAGAGAAAATAATCTAACTATGTAACACAGCAGAGGAGAAAATGACCCAAGCCTTATGGCTGTACAGTATGAACATAAAATACAATGTTCAGTAAAGCTGCTGGATAAAATGATTATAAGAGAAGCATCAATTATTATTAAAATATGTGCTGCAAGTACAGAATCTATCTAATAGCAACAAATTTAAACACAACAAATTTAAAACAAAATTGAAATTCACTATTAAGCATGAGAAAAGTAAAAAAAAACAGCTTTTTGATAAGAGCTACATTGCTATATATATATATATATATATAATATATATATATATATATATATATAACAACAGCATTGTTTAGCCTGTTGTCCTTTACATTGTTTATAAATTTCATGATGAATGAGTGGACCAACAGAAACGGTACAAAATAACGTGGAAAAATGTCTGGTTCCATTGACTTACATAAAAGTAAAGTAAGTTTTTTCTTTCTCCTGTAAAGTTACTATTTTGGAGATACAAGGTTTTGATCCGACAGCAGTGATAGATATGTACATAGCCCTTATAAAAAAGCTAAATATACTATATTTAATTCCTTATGGTGATGCAAATGTACTGTAACACTAGTCATTACTGCTTTATACATTTAACACACAAGTGAGAATAGGTTTCTTTTTAATAGCCTTGTTTTAAGTATTTTACAGGCTAGTGGGTCAGAATAGTGTAGAGTTTGAGCTGCCTACGTATGGGATTTGTATTTGGCAGTATTTTGGCAGTCTAGCCTAATGGTTAAGTCACTTAGCCCAACTCAGGGAAGCACTTGTTTGGCTTCTAACACTGCATTCCCGCCCTCAAAATCTGCGCTGATATCTGCGGCAATATAGATAAGGAAAAGTGGCCATATATATATATATAAGAATGTACTGTTCATATAGGAATCCTCTAGACATTCCTGTAGTTTTACAATGGAACATTTTCTTACTGGAAGTCTGAAGAGCAGAATTCCTCACTAATCGATATTTTCAAAGCCATTACCAATGACCTGAATGACCTTACTGTGAGGGTTTTGTTTCAGATGGCTGACTCCGGCGGACTGCCTCAGATCACACAGGTCAGCATCCGGCTCATTATTGACCCCAGTTTAGGTTACACTCTGTGTCTTCTAGCCTTACTCACTGCGGGCTGATTCAAGTCACTGACCCACAGCTGGCCGCCCCAGTGGGATGCGTTTCTCGTAAAAGAACAGTGTGGTGAACTATCAACAGTCAATCAGCCTTAGTTTGCCTCTTGCGTGATGCTAATGTAGCTAACAACTAATGGAAGCTTATAACAACCAGCTGGCCTTGTGTATTTTTATAGATAACAGTGTTTTAGAAACTACATTAGCAAGTCTATTAGAGATCAATGAACAACTCCACATGGTTTAAAACAAGAGCGTGATCATTTATATATGCTGCTAGCACCATGCTAATTCTTAGTTTTAAGCTCACTTGTTAGCTACATCAGCTTCGTAGCTCCAGTACAAACATTTCGGATAAGTGTGTACATTTAATCACTTTTACAGTTACCATGACAGATACAGGTGTTTTACTTGTTTAACGGTGTGTATTTTTCTTCTAAAATTGCTTTTCTAAGTAATTTATTTATATGTTTAGAGAAATGGAAAGATGTATGATAATGAAGGCGGTGACGTCTATTTTTTTGTTAAATTGTCATTTGTTTTTAATTTTTACAGCCTGGAAAACTGACAGAGGCATTTAAATACTTCCTCCAGGGAATGGGCTACAGTAAGTATCAGTAAATGCGATTAATCTGAGTCTGTTTGTCAGTTAATCAGCCTGGTGAGCGGGGAATCAATAGACATGCAGAGAATCACCGGCTCTAATTAGAACGCAGTCAGTAAATCTGTAGAGTTTATTTATAAGTCTGTTCCTAATTGTGGTCACACAGTTCAACATGTTTAAGTTCATACATCTGATAAAGAGTCTCATCCTCCTGGGTGTCTAAACAAAGATTAAAGATATCTACTGTGAGTGTGTGTCTATGTGCACATGCAAGTTCATCTGTAAAATTGTGTGTGTGTGTGTGTGTGTGTGTGAGAGAGAGCTTGTTTTTGTATATTATGAGGACATAAAACCAGAGAAATCCCAAGCGTTTACATTTAGGCTTAGAAAAGTCTTCTTACATGTAGTATGGTGCTTATTATTATTACACATAGATACAGATACATACATTTATAAATCTGAGCTAATGCTAGAGCTAGCTGTTAGCCTAAAGCTTTGCTTTCTGTATTGCGTGTGCTTTATTTGCCTTTAATAAAGCACAACTTGTGCATAAGTTGTGTGTCTGCTTTTAATAGCAGTAAACGTGACAATATATATATATATATACATATAAACTATAAAACATATAGCACATTATTTCATATAGGTACTTTTATAGATATATAAGATATATGGCAAATATTATTATACTTACATATAATATAATACATATGGGACATGTGCATATAAATGCTTATATATAAACATATTGGACATTTTCTTATTACATATAGGTACTTATATACCTATATGTACATATAGGTATATAGGTATATACCTATATGTAGTACATGTTGAACATTATTATTTTATATACTTACATACAAATAATACATATGGTACATATAGAATACCTATATGGCATATAAATATATTATACAAATGAGACATAATCATTACATTTAGATACTTATGGGTATTATTCATGCTTGTACAGGTGTGTGTGTGTGTGTGTGTTGTGTGTGTGTGGTGCAGGAGTTTGTTGTAATCTTGCCCTCTGTGTTTGTGTGTGTGTGTTTCCTGTCCTCTCTCAGTTGCATATATAAAGGATCGGAGGATGAGTGGGGGGCCAGGTACTTCCTGTTTCCTCTCTGCCTCCGCCCTCCTCTGCCTCATCCATCTGAAGCCAGTCGACTTTTCTTTTATTCGTTTACTCTCTCGGGTCTTACATCCCTCCTTTCTTTAATTTTTGTCCCTGTTTAACTGTATGACTCTTATTGGCTCATCGTGTGTTTTGTTTTTGGCCGTTGTTTTTTCCGCTTGAGGAAAAACATGCCGTTCCCTCCTGCACTCCAGCCATCGAAATATCCTATCATTCTCTGTGCATGACAGGCCATGGCAGCCAATCAGAGAGGCTTCAAGGGCTGAATTGCACGTGTGTCATGAATATGGGCCTTCTCTGTTATGATCACTTAGGTATTGTGGAAGGGAAAAGCCGCAGTCGCTTTAGCTCTTAGACAGTGAAATTACATTCATTTCAGTGTAAATTTATGAGATGAAGGGTTTCACATCGCAGAAATTTAATGTGTTACGATGCCATCAGGATCTAGTGAAGTTTGACGTGCCAGTTAACCTCTCCATGCTCCCTCTTATTTAACCTAATGACAAACTGTAGATCACAATACTTACATTTAGACCCTGTTTACACCTGGTCACTTCATGCATCTTGAGTATTAGGATTATATCTGGATGAGGCCGAACTCCTCCCAGTACGACCAAAACCCCTCCCCATACAAAAAACTCCTCCCAGTACAACCAAAACGCCTCCTCCCAGTAAAACTGAAACTCCTCCCTGTACAAAAACTCCTCCCAGTACAACCAAAACTCCTCCCAGTACAACTGAAACTCCTCCCAGTACAACCAAAACCCCTCCCAGTACAATCGAAAACTCCTCCCAGTACAACTGAAGCCCCTCCCAGTACAACCAAAACTCCTCCCAGTATGACCAAAATCCTTCGATACATGAAGTGACCAGGCATAAAATGGGGTCTTAGAGTCAGTTATTCATTCAACCTAATGAGAAACTGTAGAACAGACTCAGTTTATATCACAATACCTACATTTAGAGCCAGATCAAATGTTAACCTGTTGATGTCTAATAGTAAAATTGTAACTGATAATGTTCTTTTATACCTTTTGTATAATAATGTTATGACCAGAAATTAGACCTAGATGGTTAAACGATAACAGTAATGATTGAAATTTTTCAATGATTGAAAAAAAAAACATTTTTTGTCAGCATCAATGTTGTTTTCACTAAAATAATAATGGTATTTGGTCCTCAGTCTGGGTAATAGTTGCTGGTGTGTGCCTTTAACTCACTGTACTGTCAGGGTGAAGAAGTCTAGCCATTCACTCACAACAGCACACAGTGAGACAGTTAGCAGAGTTAGCTAGTGAGCTATTTTCAGTGTAAAAATGTAGAGATTAAAAAAGGCTGTGATTTTGAAGAAAAAAAGGAAAAGGTCCCACAACATCTACAGTGTAGATATGGTTCCTAAATCAAATGTAAGAGAACGTTAAAGAATTTCTTAAATTTTAAATTTTCCTACATTTTATATGTACCATTTTAAAACCGAGCATGATGGCGTCCATATATCAGTTATCACTAATTACTGATATCGATATATGGAAGATATGCTGTGATAAGATATAGGCCCAGCCCTATGTGAAATAGCTAAGCTGTGAGAAAGTGGAGAATGTGTTTGTGGAGAATGAATCCTCAGAACTCTGCCCTTAGATGCTAACCTGGGTTTGCGTCGGCCCCTGCATGATTATCATTGAAAGATGAAAGAAATGAAGACGTTTGCTGTTTGCTGAGAGGAATTTTAGTCTTGCAGTTTCTTGGAATTCCTTGGATGCGTTGAAAGCCTGATTCAAACCCCTGAAACAGACTGAGGTTCAGGATGATTTGCTGCTCTCATGAAAAACTAGCATGCCATCCCGACCACCCTCCATACACACAGACCAGCAACAGCCTGCTACTGTTACTCACCCTCTCTCTCTCTCTCTCTGCCTCTCTCTCTGCCTTTCTCTCTCTCTCTCTCTCACCATCTCTTTCTCTCTCCCTCCCCCCCCTCTCTCTCTCTCTGCCTCTCTCTCTCTCTCTCTCTGCCTCTCTCTCTCTCTCTCTGCCTTTCTCTCTCTCTCTCTCTGCCTCTCTCTCTCACCATCTCTTTCTCTCTCCCTCCCTCTCTCTCTCTGCCTCTCTCTCTCTCTCTCTCTCACTATCTCTTTCTCTCTCCCTCTCTCTCTCTCTCTCTCTCTCACCATCTCTCTCTCTTTCTCTCTCTCTCTTTCTGTCTCGTCCTTTTCTCTCTCTCTCTCTTTGTGTCCCGTCCTTTTCTCTCTCCTTCTCTCTCTGTCTTTCTCTCTTTTCTCACTCCCTATCTCTCTTGTTCTTTTTTCTCTCTCTCTCTCACACACTCTCTCTCGTCCTCTTTCTCTCACTCTCTCTGTCTGTCTTTCATTTATTCCTTTTTCTTGTCCTTCATTCTGTCTTTTTCATTTCTTCCCTCTCTCGTTTTCTCTTTTGCTCCCTGATCATTTCCTCTTTTTCTTTCGTTGTCTTTCACTTTCCCTCATTCTTTTCTCTCTCTCTCTTTTCACTGTCTCTTTTCTCTCTCACTTCTCTCTCTTCTCTTTTTTCTAATTTCTCTAATTCTCTCTCTCTCTCTCTCTCTTCTCTCTGTCTCTCTCTCTTTGTCTCTGTCTCAGTGCCCTCGGCCAGTATGACCCGTCTCGCTCGCTCTCGGACGGCCTCTCTGACCAGCGGCGGCTCCATGGACGGCTCACGCAACCGAGCGTGCACCCACTCCGATAGCAGCGAGGGGGTGGGCCAGCTCAGCCACACCATGGAGGTGTCCTGCTGAGCACACACACACACACATGCACACGCACACACACACATGCTCAGATGGGGGGCACAAGATAGAAGAAAGGACTAAAGCTGCATTCACATTATGAGCTCATTCCTCAGCTCTGAATTTTTCCACTCTACATCGGTTATGAGTGTGAAGACCTCTGTCCTGAAAGGACCCTCACGGACACAGTTTATACAGTTAAAACTCTCTCTCTCAATAAAGTTCTCATTACGTTACATCATGTAGGAGCACATATGTGGCTAGACAGCTGTGTGTTCAGACAGCTCTGAAAAAATCACATCGGTTTCACATTTGTGCCACGCTGGAAAAAGTGCAGCATTCTAATATGTACATAAACAAAACAGATTACGTCATCACACTAACTGAAAGACTGAACTGTAAGATGTAATATATTAATGTACACATTTGAATCAATTCAGTGCATCACTTTTCTCAGTGCACTTCAGCACCGTAATGTGAATGCAGCTTCAGCTGAAGGAAAGAGGACAGTTTCGTTCCTCTGGGGTCCTTTATTCTGTCTCCTGCTCTCTCTGGGTGTCTGTGTTGGTGTTTTTTTTCTTCTCTATACTGTAATATGAATCACTGCTCGATTACTCTCCCCTGTCCTCTTCGAGCTCGTTTTATGGGTTTCCCTGACTTTGTTATACATCGTTTCTTTTTTGCTCGGAGTGTCAGTGTTTTTTGTCCCCCCTCCTCGCCTGCTGCCCCTGGCCTTCATCCTCAACCCCCCCCAGACCACAAATCCCATCAGCCCCTGCTCTCATAGCCCCTGTCCTATGACAGTCTCTGTGGAGTGACTGGTGGTTTAGCAGGTGGCAGATAGTGGGGAAAAGGGTTTGGAAAACAGACAGAAGGGAAACGAGAGAGAAATAGAGGGAAACGTAGTGAAAGGGAGAGGTAACGATAAAGAAGGAAGCGGAAAGCAGTTTGAGGAACATTGTGCAGCAGTGTACTGTAATACGAAGCCATGGGCAAGAGGACTGTACGACTGAAGGATTGTATGACTGAGCTGTATGAATGAGGCTCTCTGGGCCAATCAGGTGCTAACACAGGAGCTCTCAGCCAATCAGCACAGCTTTATTGCAGAGTCGGGATTAGCACTGGTTAAAACTCCATTCGGTTGGTGGTTATTTAGTGTAAAGTTGTAAAGCCAAAGCCTGGGTTGTTTTTCAGCATCTTGGAGTTTGTAAAAAAAAGATGTTTCAACATTGAAAATTAGTTCACATTTTCTCATTCTACATCTACCATGACAGTGCAGTCTGTAAGGCAGTGTCACAATCCACCACCGACTAGCTGTAGTGTGCACTACTTTAGCAATGAGAACATTGAAATCTAGCATATTATTCAAAATGTGCATTATTCTACCATTGACCACTCCATCTGACTCTAGTACGCTCCTACTCCTTTTGAGTCTAGTACACTAATTCTAGTGTGCTATACTCCACAATTCTCAATACTCAATCTGACTCTAGTACACTAAATGCAGCATGCACTACTGTGCCTATTGCTGTTCCTTGTACTCTAGCATCCTAAATGTAGTGTACACTACTGTACAATTGACTTCTCCCTTCAACTCTAGTACACTAACTGTAGTGCGCACTACTCTACCACTGACTACTCCATCTGACTCAAGTGCACTAAATGTAGTGTGCACTACTTACCTATTACTATTCCATTAACTCTAGTACACTAAATGCAGTGTGCACTACTTTACCATTGATTAATTCGTCCAACACTAGCACACTAAATGTACTGTATCTATTAACACTACTGAGGCTGGTCTCCCAGACTAGGCATTAAGCCTAGTAGTGGACTTAACTGAAGTGCCAATGGTGAATAATCATTGGAAATTCTTTTTAGTCTAGGATTAACCTTAATCTGGGTCGGAAAAAGTGGCCCTAATTATGCATTCTACCATTGAGGACTCTAGCTCTAGTACACTAATTGTAGCGTGCACTATACCCTTAAGTCCAGTACACTGTAGTATGCACCACTCTAGCATTCACTACAACATTGAAATCTATAATTTCTAGTACACTAGTTGTAAAGTAGTGTGCACTACTTTACCACTGCCTACCTCACCTAGCGCTAACACACCAATTATAGAGTTCTCCTTTATTCTTCCAGTGAAAAGTCCATCTTACTAGTGTGCTCATTGTTCCTCTTGTGGCAGTGGGTTTTGCCTGGGATCGGTTCATTACGGTCTCCTTTCTCTAGACAATCACACTCCAAGCCAAACCAAACTGGAACCGCGAGCTGAGGCTGAACCGGAGAGGTCATTAGGTCATTACGTCATATAAGATGGTCAGCCATTGGAAGTAGTTCAGTGCTGGTGCCTTGCTTTCCCTACAGAACCCAGCCCTGCAGGACGAGGATACCAAAGCGACACTAATACACATACACATACACCCACCATGACTGGAATCTGTAAGGAGATTCAGATGCTTCAGACGTGCAGACACTGGTATAGGACTGACATAAACGAGCACAGAAAATCACACAGAGTGATGGGTGTGGTTATTTAAATATTCAGTGATCCAACTCTTCTTAGAAGTTGTTTACTCAGGCCTAATCAGGTCATGTATTGTAGTGTGCATGTAGGCTTGCGGTGATCAGCCTGCGGTAAAGGCTGATTTGTAGTTCTGAGAAAATGCCCATGAACGTGTCCGAGAGGGGGTTCATGGGTGAGCATAAAACCCACCTACACGTCAAGCAACCACTGATGGGCTCCTCGATAGTTTGGGTGGGGACCTAAGCACTTTATTCATGTTTTCCCCAAACACATCAATTTCAGCACTGCTTTGACTCATGAAAAGCCCCACCATAGATTACACCTATCAGATGGACGAATGGATGACAAATAGATCTCTAAAGCTGTGAGCTGATTGGCCAGAGCTGCTGTCAGACTGTGTTCAGGATGAGAGAGGTGTGTGTGAACGTTTGAATCCCCGACTCATTCTCAGACGACTCCATCTCTCTTCCGTCTCGCTGAATGTCACTTTCTCACAGCGTCTGCCGTCGTACGGACGACGTGATGTAATTACCTACTGCAGGGGGTGTTTCCTGTGTGTGCGTCTGTAAGGGGCGGGGCTTTCTGGAGCGTGCTGCTCCAAGCTCGGAATGTAGGGCAAACCCCAAATCCCCACTGAAAAACTCCCGTCCCATTAAAAACTCAAGGTGCCCCGGCCCTCACAGATGCGTGCAGTCGCCCCCTAAAGGGCTAACTGACCCCTATCCCCCTCCGAGCAATGGAGGAACTGCCTCAAACTGAGCACCGGTGGGTGCGGACTGCTACTGTCTGCTGTACAAATAGAAAGACGAATGGGGTGGATGGGCTGCAACTAGCGATCCGTGCTGCTGTAGGAAAATCTCGTACCTCTGAAAGTTTGTAGAAGAAGGAAATGAACATTTTCAAACAGCGTATAAAAAAAAAGAAAAATGAAAAAAGTTATGAGGTTTTCTTATGACAGCGACTGATTTTTCCTATAATAGATTAATCTACTATTCCTTATTCAATTAATCGATTAATCGACTAACTGAATCATTATGCCTTCTTTGGTTTCTTTCACTTTGCCCCATTTTGTGTCTTTTCTTCTTTTATGCTGCAGTGAAACAATAGAAGCCATATCGCCCCCTATGTTTCCTGTAGTGTACTGCAATCTGTCAGAATGACCATGTGGATCGTGCAAACATTACAGGGCATTATAGTTGTTGTTTTTAGGTGAACAAAGCCTCAGCCTTGTTTTACTCTCTGTCTTCGACTTTTTAGTCCGCGACTTATTTTTTATGACAATTAATCTACTTTTGTCGACTAATCGTTGCAGCCCTAGTAGATGGAAGGTCTGTCTTTGTGGGTAAGGAATGTAAAAAAAAAGGTAGAGTGAGTGAGTGGAGGTACCATGGAGGGTGTTATTAGGGTCTCTGGAGAATGCTTACCTGTAAAATTGAGTCCCATTGAGCACAAGGGAAGTGAGTAGGATAGCAAGGTAGCTGCCAGGAGAAGAAAGCGTTCTCCGTTTTTAGGACTGATTCAGGACAAACCGTTTCTCCCCCTGCATTTGTTTGCATGCACTGAGATAAGACAGTAAAGCCTGTGGGTGTTTTGTTATTTCTCTGTCTCTGTCCGATGTGCCCAGTTGTCTACTCGTGCTGAGAGGTGAAAAGCATGCCACTGACCCTCCTGACCCTCCGATGTTTACCACATCGAACCTGGGCCATGAGTATCAGATGGCTGATCCAGTTTTTGTTGTTTAGAGGCAGAAGCAGTTCTAGACCTGCAGGTTTAGGCCTCACAGTGGGTAACGTTAAGGATTTTACACATTGAGGATTAAACGCATTAAAAAGGTGTGGCCACGCATTATTTTTATTTATGTGGGATGTCACCAGCAGGGCTCCGTACGTTATCGTATTCGCCCTGTTTGATTTTGGCGAACTTTCTAAAAGGTTAAGAACCGAGTTACTTGGGCTACCTCTTTGTAGCTAACAGTGTTAGCTAGCTAGCTACCTAAATAGGGCTGTTCTTTGATTCATGTGCTTTGACCATGTGCTAAAACATGATCTTGCTTGTATGTCATAAATTACGCAAGGGTCTAAAGCCGCGCCACGCCCTGAAACAGCAAGTCTAGAACTGCTGCTGTATCTGCCGATGGATGATGTTAAGGGATGGTATTAGTTCGTAACCGGGTGGGAATGCTGTTGGATCAGTGCTGGATACAGGCTCTTCACCACTCCTGCCTGGGGGGGCCCTGAATGTATCTTGTCATTTGGAAGTGCTGTAAAGTTTCTGTCAGTGTGGCTCCATCCAATCACCTTGCTTCTCTCCGGGTTCAGGCCCCTCCCTCCTACCTTCCTCTTCTTAATCTTCACCTCACTCCTCCTCACTCCTGCTGTAGATACTCGCTGTTTTTAGACAATAACGATAAAAAAAGGTCTCTACCACTACTAGCCTTGTGTTGTGGAAGTATACAGTATCAGTTCACACTCCCTCCCACCACCTTCATCGACCTCCTCTTTTTATAATATGATAGAGCTCTTAATATACCACCATTGTATTAATTCCTGCAAGGATTTCATGAATATTATTGATACAATTATTGTTAATATGATTATTATTATTACTACAATTAGCCATCATTTTGTATTGAGCAATAAGTTACTATGTTTTGAGAACTTGCTAGACTTTGTGTGGGCGGGGCTCTTCCCCCGCAAGCTCGAACATGTCTGCAAAGATAGAACAGATTCTTTCCTGCTTTGTCATGAAAAAAAGTGTTAATGTAAAATGTACATCTATATAGAAGCCATCACTGTCTGTGTACTGATCATGTAACTACAATAAAAAGGATGTAAAAATAAAAGCTTTTGTTTGTGGTGCTGATAAATGGAAATATTGCATTATAATATTACAGAGAAGGAATAGGTTTACAAAATGTACAGTATCACCGCTAAAACCTAACGTAATAGTTTCAGGGGGAGCCCAGGCCAAAATAACAAACAAAAGACTAACTGCAAAGAAACAAGACTTCCACTATGCTAACAAAGGCCTTCAACCCTACCTACCTACACAAACCGGGAGAAAACAGGGGACCAAAGGAAAACAGCAGCGCATCCCTACTGTCAATCAACTAAACAGGGAATATCAGGTATATAACCCTCCAGGAAGAGCTATGGCATCCTCATTGGTCCATAGCCAGCCCTAGTCGCACCATGAGAGGTAGAGTCCTAAGAGCACTGTTAGAGAAGCAAAAACAGTGCACCAGCATCTCTCTGGTGACCCCAGCACACAGGCAGCCATAACACAACAAGTTTGCTATTGTTGCTGGTCTAAAGATAGTCTTACAATAGAGTGAGTACTGTTTTTAGATATGAACTAATTAGTTTCACGGAAATTTTGCACGAAGATCCAGATTTTGGTTCTTATACATTAGTTAATTTTTCCACTTAAAATGGTCTCATTAATAATAGATTCTGAATCATTCATAGTAGAGACTGGATCCTTTATAGCAGTTCTTGAATATTTCTTAAAACTTACTGAATAATTCATATTAATTATCAAATAATCAATAACAAGTGTGATTATTTCAAATTTGTTACTAAATAACTCATAATAGTTACTGAAGAATTCATAGTAGATAGTGAAGAATTCTTAGCAGATATTGAATATATTTTGTTGTAGTTACTGAATAATTCGTAGTAGAAATTTAATAATTCATAGTAGTTGCTAAATAATTCATCATACAAACCTGTTCCCAAATATAAACAGAATGCAATAATGTGCAAATCATTTTAACTGAATATTTAATTGAAAATAGTACGAAGACAAAATACCAAACTGAGAAATTTAATTCTTTTTTGAAAAATTTTTGCCCATTTTAAATTGGAAGGCAGCAGCACATTTCAAAAAAGTTGGGATGGGGGCCTGTTTACCACTGTGCTGCATCACCTTTTCCTTTAGCAACATTCTGTAAGCGTTTGGGAACTGAGGAGACCCTGCTGTAGTTTTGAAAGTATATGTTTTCTCCTTTGTCGTATTTTTCATTTCATACTGTGCCAAATGTTTTCAAAGGGTCTCAGGTCTGGACTGCAGACATTCCAGTTTAGCATCTGGACTCTTTTACTACGGAGCCATGCTGCTTTAATATGTGCAGAATGTGTTTTGTCAGTCTTTTGTTGCCCTTATCCTAACTTTTTAAAAACATGTTGCTGGAATGAATTTCAAAATAGCCATATGTTTTTCGAAAAAAACAATATATTCTTTTAGTGTCAACATGTTGTGTGTTGTCTTTGTACTATTTTCAATTAAAAATAGGGTTCAAATGATTTGCACATCATTAAATTGTTTTTATTTACATTTTGCACAGCATCCCAGCTTCTTTGAAACGGGGATGTAGATACTGAATAAGTCATAGTAGTTACTGAATAGTTTATTTTAGTTATTGAATAATTCTAAAGTACATAATAAAGTACTAATAAAGTACATATTGAATACATAGCAGATACTTAATGGTTCTTAGTAATTATTGAATAATTCATAGTAGATTTTGAATAATTCATAGTAGTTACTTAATAATTCATAGTGGAAATTGAGTAACAAGTCTTAAGGTCAGTGAACAAATATTTGAATGTCACGCCTGCATTTTATGAGGTTAAAGAACGCATAAAGCCAAGATGTAATTGGTTATGTATAAGGCACCAATTATTAAGTTTTATTTTAGCAACACAATGTTCTTTTAGCCTAAACATCCAGAGGAGAAACTTTTAAACTAATTAGGAAACTAGCAGATTAATGATGCAACAATCACAATATAATCCAAGACCATATCCACTGTAAAGTTTTATTAGCATGCTTTATTCCAGTAAAATTGGATACATGCCTTTTCAGCTTTCAGAGACAAAAGACATGAATTCAAAGAGAAAACCTGATTTTAAAACCACTCAGGGTTTGAACTACACTGAAAAGTAGAGATTGACCATTAATTTGCTCATTGGCTCATAGGAGCTGAACTGACGGTTCACCGAAAGATGACATCATACGAGAGGATGTACGCATCGCTGTACATGTACAGCATTCGGTCTTGTGGGTTGTAATTTAGTGACTGGACGTTGGTCTGCATCTTCTTAATCTGGATCTTCAGGTCGTAGCGTTCTACACCTGTTACTGTGTCAAACGAGTAGAAGATCTCTTCCGTCTCTTTGTTCAGGAAGCGGGTGGCGTAGAGCACACCGCACGCCATGAAGGTGTTGGTGGCTGTGCGCTTGTGGAGGGACGTCTGCCATGTTTTTTCCAGAGCTGGAGGGCTGTCGGTCAGCACCTTGCTAATAATGATGTTACCAAAGTTTTCTGGAGAAGTGTAGGTGACCCAAACCCCAGATTCGTCCGTGGCAAAGTCGAGATCAGTGTAGACGTAGGTGGTGTCGAGGTGGCCAAATGGGAATTTGTTGTTGAATCCTGAGTTTTGAGGCAGAGCCACGTTGGTGACCGTGCGCGCGGTCATGTTGAAGCGGCAGATGGACGGTGTGTTGTAGCAGCCATAGTAAAGCGCGTCTCCATACATGACCACATTGGGCCCTTGGATGGTGTTGGTGGTGGGGTTGGAGGAAGCAATCACCGTGTCCGTTTGCCCCACACCCACCACGATGGTGCTCAGGCTGTTGTACTGGCGAATGTAATTGGCGAAGACATTGCTGCTGGTCAGCGCCACCAGCCAGTGCATGTTCTCCTTCCCTGGAGCAGGATTGGGGTCTTTGCCCCAGGCACCGTAAGAGTAAGAGGTCCCATACTGGGTGAGGGCATACGTTCTTGGCCCAGACACGCTGACCAATTGCCCTTGTGGACAGTGTCCTAGACAGAGGAGAAAGGCGTAAAGGAATAGTTTGGTTAAAACAATATCCCCCTTGATCAAAATCTAGTCAATCAGCAAAGATAAAATTATGGAATTTTGATTGATTTAGAAAAAGACTGTTACTACTGTTTTCATGTAACAGCACATCACATAGGGTCAGAAAGTCTACCAGAGATTGCTTAACAACTCACAGAGAAAAGCATTAATAGTAATTCAGGAAGTACATCTAAAAAATGGTTTGAAAAAATGTGAAAAAGTATGGAATAACTTTGGTATCATATTGTTGTAGGCCAAAAATAAATTAAAGACACCATGTTAGTATCATTTTGAAATTGACATATACAGTTGTATGCAAAAGTTTAAACATTCCTGGTTCAATTTCATGTTGTTTTGATTTTCTTATTAAAAATAAGTTAACACATCCACTACAGAGAACATATTAAATATGGAATTTCCTGCAAATTTAAGGGCACAATTTATATTTATTTGCTGAGTCTAACATACATATTTCTACACAAAAAAATTTGCCATAACTTTTGCACAGGCCATTTTATGTTTTATTTTTCTCTAATATGTGATATTCAGCAAATAAAAAAGTATATGCTGATGCATTAATAAGCATTGATAATAAGCTTGCATGCACATTTTCCATTTTTTTTTATTTTCTCTTCACTTTATTCAGTTAACAGATGCCTGTGTTGGCTTGCCTCATGCTGAGTGATGGGGGCAGAGAGAGGACCATCTTACCTACCCACAGAGAGAGAGTGAGGACTCTTATGCTCTGTTGGAATCCCAGCCACTTATGGCTGTGGCATCACGGGGGATCAAACACATGATTTCCCTATGATAGAGTCGCTTGGACGGCTGCATCACTCAGAAACCCCTCAAATTCCCCTTTTGAAATAAACTACTTACATGTAAATCCAATCCCAGAATCAGAGAAGCCACCAAACCTGTTTACTGTCATACTGACCTGTGTGTGAGTGAACTGTAGGTTTGTAAAGAAGTGTGGGTACCTGGTGCAGGTGTGGGAGGATGAGGGGTGACGTGCAGCTCGTGCTGGCAGTTAGCCAAGTCTCTCTTCATTCGCTGGTTCTCCTGCAGCTTTTTCACCACCTGCATGTGGTCAAACTCCTCCAGATCCTGCATTTCCTCCATCAGGCCTTGCAGCTTCAGGACAGACAGAGATGGCAGTCAGTTCAGCTGTTTACCCAACATACTTTTGATCCAGGGGATACACATAATGATGTTGGGGGCATGTAAAGAAATTCAGTGCTGAGACTGATCCACCACCCAAATAGTACCTGCTCTGTGAGGGTCCATGGGGGTCCTGACCACCGAAGAACAGGGTGAAAGGGGGCTAACAAAGTATGCAGAGAAACAGATGGACTACAGTCTGTAACTGTAGAACTACAAAGTGCACCTATATAGTAAGTGGAGCTGATAAAATGGAGTTTTTTGAGAGCTTTAGCATTTTATTTTAGACTAAAAGAATCTAAAAAGAGAAGAACAGAGATACGAACTTCAGTTCCTCTGCTGATAGATGCTGGATGTTCCACTGAGGTTCTAAGGGCTACTTGGTGCTTAATATGGCTGATGTCAAGCGAAAAAGTCACGTCTGAGTAATGAATTAACGCAGTTTTTATTTGTTTGCTTCATATTAGCCAACCGTTATCAAAGTAGTAACTACTGTTTTTAATGTTAACAAATACAAAAATTAATGTTAGTCAACACTTCATTTCGAAAATGAGTGTAGCGCGTTTGAGAAATGTTCTGCATGTTTATACTGGGAATTTTTCTCCTCCACATATTCTGACAAAGACTCTTAATGTAAAGGCGGGGCTAGTCGCCTTTGCGAGGAAGTGTGTCAGAACCAACTGGAACTGGTTATCAGTTGAGAGCTGGAAGCGAGAGAGCGCAGACATGAGCTGAGTGTAGAGCGAGCTGTTAGCCAAAAGCATTGCTTATTGTACGGCCTGCCAACTTCAGCGCTTTAATAAAGCACAGTGACTTGTGCATAAACAGTGAGTCTTCTTTAATAGCAGTAAATGCTACACTATATTAACTGATGCAGTTGTTACTTGTTTACTTAATATTAACTAACCATTATTAATGTAGCACTTCATTATGTGCATCTTGGGGCCCTGAGGCGGCACTGCTTTAAAAGCAGACACGATTCTGTAGTGGAAATCACTGCGGGAAAACTTCCAAAAAAACACTGTCTGTGAACACAGTTTGTCGCTGCATCCACAAATGCAAGTTAAAACTCTGCAATGCAATGAAGAAACCGTATATAAATAGGTTCCAGAAACACTGCTGCCTTCTCTGGGCCTGAGCACATTTAAGATGGACTGAGGCAAAATGAAAAGTCGTCTGATGAATCAAAACTTTAAATTCTTTTTGGAAATCATGGACGCCTGTCCTTTATCCTAAAGAGGCGAAGGACCACCAAGCTTGTTATCAGTGCACAGTTCAAAAGCCAGCATCCGTAATGGTATAGGGGTGCATTAGTGAACATGGTATGAGTGACTAGCACATCTGTGAAGGGACCATTAATGCTGAACAATATATGCAAGTTTTGGAGCAAAATATGCTGCCATGCAGACAACGTCTTTTGTGTTTTAAATAATAATAACAGTGTAGCTATACAGAAAGCATGCTGAAGTCATGCTGTGGTGCAGTACAGACTGTGAGTTGAGTTTAAGTCACCTTGGTGCTGGTGGCTTCGCTGAGCTGCTGGTGGGAGCGGATGGTCCTGTTGAGTTTGGCCATGAGCTCCAGCACCTCAGCCAGCTCCAGCTCGATGATGCGCAGAGACACGGCTCCGTACAGCTCTCCATCATCCTCTTTCTCCAACACAGCCACGCTCTCCTCCAGCTGCTCCAGCCGCCTCTGCAGCCCCAGCATCAGCACGTCCACCTCCAACATCTGACAGACACAGAGACAGCTTTACAGCACAGCAGAAACGGTCCACTAAGGGTTAACTGTATAAAGTTAGTAAATATTTATCAATATAATATGGACATAAATATAAATGCAATCAAATATATGAGCTGGAATCAATTCTGAACACTGAAATGGGTCCACAGAAATCAGTGAAGGCCTCCTAAATGATTTATTTAATGCTTGAAATAATGTACAGTCCTCTCCACAATTATTGACACGCTTGGTAAAGATGAGTAAAAGGGTTTTTACACTTTTGGTGAAATAGCTTAATCTCACACTGAAAAATGGAAAATACATATGCGCACACACACACACACACACACACACACACACACACACACATATGTGTATATATATATATATATATATATATATATATATATATATATTTTTTTTAACAAAACTCATGTGTGTCACAATTATTAGCACCCCTGCATTACATACTTCGTACAACCTCCCTTTGCCAATAAAACAGCACTTAGTCTCCTATAACATCTTATCATCTTATACGGTTGGAGAATAAAGAGCAGGAAATTAAAAAAAAATCCTTTTTATAGAATCTCTCTGACTCGCCCAGGGATCTGGGTCCACTCTCTTGAACCCACTTCTTTAGCAACCCCACAGGTTATTTTATGTTTTGTATTATTGTCCTGATGATTCAATGACAAACCATTTTTAGTTTCTTGGCAGAGGCAAACAGATTTTGATTTAAAATGTTTTGCCTCTGCCCAAGTTCCCAGGACCTTTGGAGAAAAAACAGCCCTGATGACATCACAGACCATCCACCATCCTTAACAGCAGGCATGAGGTTTTTACACCAAACCCATTTTGAGTATTTGCTGCCAGAAAGCTCAATTTTCATTTCATCTGATAATAGAACACAGTTACTGGATCAAAGTCCAGGTGCTTATATTTGTGGTTAGATGACAGGAAAGGCTTTATCTTTGCATGCCTTCCAGATAATCTTTTGGCATGCAGGTGGTGTCTGATGGTAATTTTGGAGAACTGGGGACCCCAAGATGCTACTTTTTCTTTTGGGACGTCGTTCGGACAATTTTGTCACAGTTCTATTTGAACTTTCTAATTATTGCTTTAACTGTAGATTTGGGCATTTTCAGGTGAGTAGCTCATTTTTATAGCTATTCCCTGATTTATGAGGATCAACACACCTTTCCGTTTGAATTGTGTTTTCTTGCCTTTCCCCTGCTAAAAAGTGACTAAGGGAATTTGACCTCGGTGTCACCTCATATATAAAACAGGAAGTTATGGATTAATGCTTGAAGTTGCTAGACACTCTGATCAACTTAAAAAAGTAAAATAAAAATGAAAAAACCCTTTAGTTACATTCTATTTCTAAGAATTTCTAGAGATACCAATAATTGTGCACGTTGTTTTATTAAAAAACAGAAAAAAGTTTTATGAAGGGTATCACAGAATAAATTTACTTCAGTTAAAGGTTGGACTTCTCGTTTTTTTTCCAAAAGGTGAATGTCTTATAACCATTTTTACTCGTGTTTACCAAGGGTGCCAATAATTCTGGAGGGGATTGTATTTGTTTCCAGCAGTGTAGAACATTTTGTCCTTGTTTTTTTGAATTGTTTTGGAGATCCAGAGGCTTAAAGAGTCTAAAGTGGTGCTAATTTTTGCTTTAAAATGAATGCATCCAAAAAATGAACTTTTGAACAATTCGGATTAGATGCGTGAATTTTGCAGAGACAGAAGACACAGAGATGCATGATTTCTATTTTATGGCTTCTTGAATGTTTAGGGAAAAATGTTTATTGGAACAAATTTGACTTTTTATACCTCCACAGTGAAGTGCATAGTTTTCAATTAACTATTAGTGTCACAGCAGTAAAGCTCTCTGGTAAAATAAAATAAACCTGTTAATCACACCATAATTTCACAGGTGATTCCAGGTCTTTATCCTGTCACATTACACCTGGGAAGATGTTAAAGCATTTATTAGATTGTTCAATTAAATCTTGTTTGAAGAGAAGTAAATAAAACACCTGGTTTGGGGTGATGGTCCTGTTGCATTCAGAGGCCGCAGTGCGGACGCTGTCCAGCTTGTCCGTGGGGAACGGACGGTCCGAATTCTTCAGCTCACACACACACTGCTTCCCACTCGCACTCTGCACAGAGAACATCACAGCGTAACACACACTATTCAACACTGAGCAGCAAACAGCAAACAGCAGTTCAGTCACCCATTACAGCTCTTTCCCTCATAGTCTGTGTGTGGCTGACTGAGATACTGGACTCATATATTCTCTATACACACTGAGCCAGTGTGTGAGATTAAACTGTATTCTTCAACTTACAAATACTGGACAAACATAAAATGGACTGGACAAACATTCAAAAGTGTTGAATCACTTTAATAATACAAAAATTACAAATTTAGACTGTCCAAAAAAAAATTAAAAAATACTATGATGCTTTTATTCAACAACACCATCTTTAAAATTATTAGTAGGAACATGTAAAAAATTTGAAAAAGTGTGTTTGATTGTTCAAATAAAACACTATCAGAATGAACTTCTAATACAAATAATATCTACAAGGAAGTTCTGATAAAATTAGTATCACAAATGAAATTATAATCATTAACATTAGTACTTTATCAGTTTATTTATTAGTACTTTATAATTAACATTCATACTTTAAAAGTGCTGATCAAATCTTAAAATAGCTTGCAATTGTTATAAGAAGATACGTACAATATACTATTCATTTAATAACTAATAATCAATATTTTAAAAACAAGTAAAATGAAAATACCTTTTGATGTCTAGTTCATATTTTTATCTGCACACTTAAAAATGATGGTCCTTCAAGAATTCTTAAGTAAAGAAAATGGTTTTATATAGAACCATTAACCCTTTGTATGGTTAAAGGCTTCTTGGCATCATGAGAGAGACGGATGACAAATGTGCTGTATGTGGTTCTATAAAGAATCTTTTTAAAACGGGTTCTATATAGCATCAAAAAGGGTTCTTCTATTGTAACTAGCTTGACATCATAGCAATAGAAGAACTCTATTTGGTGCTATATAGAACCCTTTTCAAAAAGGTTTTATATAAAACCATATACAGCACATTCACCATCAATCTGGAGAACCATTTCACGATGCGAAAGAACCCTTTAATCATGCAAAGGGTTCTATGAGTGTTCATGGTTCTATGTAGAACCATTTTCTTTACATAAACCCTTGAAGTGTGCACAGTATATACGATACAAGTGCACTAAATGAAAGAACACTATTGTTAATATGATGTGTTTGTAAGCTTGAATTTAAACAGTGGTGTGAATCCTTACCTGAGAGAGAAAGGTGAGAAACACAGCGGTCACCCAAATGGACAACAGTGGTGACTTCATGTTTGCTTTGGAAGAAGAGCAGGATGGAGCTGCTGAGGGTGCTTAACTGAAAAAAAGTCCACCAGAACAGAGAAACAGCATTTTAGAGTGAGGCATTCCCTCCCCGAAAAAACTGAAATTTGTCAATGCGCCTTTCAGTTTGTGCTGACTGAGGGAGAAAAGTGAGAAATTGCTGAGAATGAGGGAAGTGAGAGACGGAAATATTTGCTTTTGCTGATATTCAGGATGGACTGATGGAGAAGAGGAGGATGTGGTTAATCCCTATTAATGGAGTTACTCAGTCTTGGCACGAACGCATGTCGAAACCTGGGGCACATTCTCAAAGTTACGGTTACTCTTCCTCTTTTTCACTCATGTTCACGCTTTCCTTTCCAGTATATAGCAGTTCTCTACTTTACTGTGCCATCTTTTCTCTTTTGATCCATAAACAGATTCTTATACAAATGCAGTGCTGTAATCCTCACAGTAACACGTTCGTACAAAGCCTTTCTTTTAAATGCAGTAGGCCACTCTATATTTACAGGTTCGGTTACACTGTTCTTTGATTTCATTGTAACTTCGCAGGTTTTTTGAGATCTCTACAGTGTGTCCACTGATTCCAGCATACTATATTTGTACTAATCAGTTTATTACTGGTTATTTGGAACAAACACATGAATATGAGTCAAACCTTTTTGCCTAGGGCCTAAAAGATCACACCATGGACGTCCACAAAAAACAAAAAAAACCAAAAATTGAGCAAAAAGCTCTATTTAATTCATAGAATCCTGCAAAATTTCAAAGCTGCACTCCATTTACTTTTTAGTAATGCATTTTTAAAGTCTGCCCTATCAAGTTTTACATTACCTCTTAAATATAGAGTTTAACTGCTAACAGAATAATTAAACTGAGCTTAAATATAACTGTGTTTAAAACAACACAAGAAAGTATACAAATCAACTTGTTTCATGTTAAAACAATCTCACAATGGGTTAAATTATTACAGCGCATACTTTTAATCCCATAAAAATGTTTCTGCTAAATTTTTGTTTCATATTATACATGTTTCTATCAAATAATTCACATCTATTGAGTATTTAAAGTGACATAATGAGTTCAACATGTTTTTGCCAATAAAAAATAATAATTTTACAGCCATTTTGGACTCTATATTTTCTCAGAAGGTAATTTTAACATCAAACACTACAAATGTGTTTCATGTATATTTTTCTAATTAAGACTTTTCATTAACAAGCTCATTTAACCCGTACAGTGCTCCAGGATGTCTGCATCCTTTTTTGAGAGGTAGTATATTCTTCCAGTTCTTTTTGTTAGGGGATCTAATAAGCAAAGAACCTCTTGCAACCTCTCCCAATAAGTGTCCTGTGTTACTGGATGAATAACTGTTTACCTAATTAGTTTATGTTGCAATATATCAGTATATATAAACATGGACTGAGAGACTATACGAGAAGTGGCAAATAGATCACAGTTGTAAAAACAAATTTATATCTGTATGCATCCAATGAAAAAATGGAAACTGCAATATTTTCATATTGCATAGGTATTTATAGATTGCAATAATGTCCATATTTACAATATTACATTATGCTTGGTACATACAATATATGAACAAAAGTATGCGGACACACCTCCTACTTATTGAGTTCAGGTGTTTCAGCCACACACTTTGCTAACAGGTGTATAAAATCAAGCACATAGCCCTGCAGTCTCCACAGACAAACACTGTAGAGTGGCAGTAGAGGGTCGTACTGAATAGCTCAGTGACGTTGAATGGGGCACTGTCATACGATGCCACTTCTGACAAAGGTTAGTTGGCGACATTCTTGCCATGCTAAGTCTGCCCAGGTCAACTGTAAGTGCTGTTCTAGTGAAATGGAAGCATCTAGGAACAACAACAGCTCAGCAATGAAGCGGTAGACCATGCAAACTCGCAGAGTGGGGCTGCCGAAAGCCAAATCTCCGATCCTCTCACTACAAAGTTCAAAACTGCAAAAGAACTGTGTGTTGGGAGCTTCATGAAATGGGTTTCCATGGCCGAGCAGCTGCACACAAGCCTAAGATCACTACGTGCAATGCCAAGCGTCGACTGGAGAGGTGTAAAGCATGTTGCTGCTGGACTCTGGAGCAGTGGAAACGTGTTCTCCTCTGGAGTGGCATCACTGGCAGTTTGATAACAGTAAAAAAAAACAGGTTGAGAAGAGATAAGGCCCTTTCCAGTTCCAGCAGGATTGTGTTCCTCTGCACTAAGTCAGGGTCATAAAGACATGGTATGACGAGTACCACAGGTGTGGAGGAACTCCAGGACACTCAAAGCATGTCCAAGCTGTTATAGGTGTGATGGTCATGTGTCCGCATACTTTTGGCCATGTGCTGTATGTTCTCTGAGCTTGTCTCAATACAAATCTGAAGACATTCTTCCAATCTTCCATATGGCTTAATTCATTAGATTAAAACTTTACAAATTTGATTAGAAATAAAATGAAGAAAACGAAAGTATGAAAAAGGGGTGATGTCCATCCAAGGTATAACTATACAAAAATATTTATGGCTTTTTTAAAATTATTATACTAAATTTAGTTGTTGGACAGGAATGGATTACTTGTCATTTATTCATACACTTAAAAACGATGCTTCTTCAAGGGTTCTTCAGTAAAGAAAATGGCTCTATATAGAACCATGAACACTCAAGGAACCCTTTGCATGATTAAAGGATTCTTTGCATTTTTCAAAAGGGTTCTACTTAGCACCAAAATGGGTTCATCTATTGTAACAAGCTTGACATAATAACAATAGAAGAACCTTTTTTTTGGTGCTAAGTAGAACCCTTTTGAAAAAAGGTTCTTATATTGAACCATATACAGCAAATTTGCCATCAAGCTGAAGAACCCTTTCACGATGCAAAGAACCCTTTAATTATGCAAAGCGTTCTTTGAGTGTCCATGATTCTATACAGAACCATTTTCTTTACTAAAGAACTCTTAAAGAGCCATAATTTTTAAGTGTGTACAATATACACTGTGCAGGTTCACTGAATAAAATAACACTATTGTTAATATGACACTAATACTAAATTTAGCTGTTAGACAGGAATTGATTACCTGCCAATTATTCATATAACTACATTATCACTTTAGAATTTTACATATAATAAAAAAATAAAATATGAGTCTTATAATCCAAATTATAACCACCATGTACCTGCATGTCAACATTTAGCTCATAACAACAATGAAAAAGTGAATATTTATTATAGAAACTTATTTAGATGTGCAAGTGCAGCTTCTGCGTGACTGTTGCTTTGGCTGCATTAACAAACTTACACTGCATTATTTAAGAGGTGTGTTGAGAAATATTATGGAAACTTAAAATTAGAGTGGAATTTTTTGACAGTTATTTCCCAGCACACAACTTCCTTTACTGAAAATCTTCACATCCTCATCAGAGAAAAAAAACATCTTCATATGTGTGTGTGTGTGTGTGTGTGTGTGTGTGTGTGTGTGTGTGTGTGTGACAGAGAGAGAGTTTATAAATGGTGTTGCTGAAGCTGGTGGTCACTCAGTGATCGACCATGATCCTGTTGGTGTTGCTCCTCACTGCCACTGTAAGTACTGAGGTGTTTCTTTTATCCATGCTCTTGTTTTTTTCTTGTTGTCATAGAATAAACATTTTTTTTATTTTGCTTTTGTCTTTTATTATACAGTGCAGTTTTGTTTGTCAAAAGACTTAATATTCTGTGTTAGGTGAACACTGCAGTGCATGATTTTATAATCTTATTGAATTTTAAATAGAAACTTGCACCATTTGATACCTGAAACCCAGAAAACAATAATGAATAGAATTTTTCTACATGAATGTGTCAACAAAATGTTGTTTTGGCATTGATGTATACATTTGAAGCAAGTCAATATAAAATCTCAGGCTTATTACACACTAAGGCCTATTATTCAATAATGACAGTGCAAACTGGTTGAGCTATTCTTAGGTTATAGAATGTGTAATAAAACATAGGGCCTGCTGGGGGGCGCTGGCCATTTAAGGGGTTAACTAGTATGTCACTGTGGAAACAAAATGCTGTATCTTCATTTTTGTCAGCTGAAATTTACACAGTGTTAAAATTTCATGTTGAATGCAACAATAGAAATGTTAGAAAATGACTTAGAATAAAATCTTGCTAAATAAACCTACATTGAAAGTTATGAAACCTTTTGGGAGATGTAAGGTTCTGTTCTGACAGTGACAATTTATAAAATTTAAAACTAACTGTAAAGGTAAATGCATAATAATGCAACTGTGATGCTTGGTTTAAAAATCTATGGCAGTATTGATATAAATAATTATATCATCCTTGTTCCTTATTGATTTTGTGTTTGTGTGTGTTTACAGCAGGCAGGCCACGCTCAGAGGGTTCAGGGTGAGGAGAAAGACGGCTCATGTGTATGTGAGGTGAACAGCGCCATCTGGGCTTTTCCTACCGCTAAATATGAGGGAGTCACACAACTGCTACAGGGCTGTGAAGTCTCACTGCAAAAACTCCAAACACAGGTAATTCACACTGTATAAACTCCAAACACAGGAAATTATCACTGTATAAACTCTAAACACAAGTATTTCATATTGTATAAACCCTAAATACATGATATTCACACTGTATGAACTCCAAACACAGGAAATTCACACTGTATAAACTCTAAACACAGACAATACCCCCTGCATAAACCCTAAATACAGATAATTCATACTGTATGAACTCCAAACACAGGTTATTCATATTGCACAAACTCCAAACACAAGTAATTCATATTGTATAAACCCTAAATACATGATATTCACAATGTATGAACTCCAAACACAGGTTATTCATACTGTATGACCTCTAACCACAGATAATACACACTGTATGAAACCTTGAAACCCAGGTAATTTATACACTGGACGAACTGCAAACACAGGAAATACACACTGGATAAACTGCAAACACAGGTATTACACACTATATTAACTCAAAACACAAGTTATTCACACAGCACAAAGTCCCAACACAACATGTAAAACACACTGCATAAACTCTTAACACAGGTAATTCATGTTGAATGCATCAATAGAAATGTTCCAAAATTACTTAGAATAGACTCACACACCAAATAATTCCTCACTGCCTTAACTGTAAACGAAGGTAATATATACAGGATACTCTAAACACAGGTAATTCATATTGCACAAACTCCGCACACTGGTAACATACACCCCATAAACTCCAAACACAGGTAATTACACCCCATAAACTCCAAACACAGGTAATTTACACCCCATAAACTCCAAACACAGGTAATATACATTGCATGAACTCCAAACACAGGTAATTTACACTGCATAAACTCCAAACACAGGTAATATACACTGCATAAACTCCAAACACAGGTAATTTACACTGCATAAACTCCAAACACAGGTAATTTACACTGCATAAACTCCAAACACAGGTAATTTACACCGCATTAACTCCAAAGACAGGTAATTTACACTGCATAAACTCCAAATACAGATAATATACACTGCATGAACTCCAAACACAGGTAATTTACACTGCATAAACTCTTAACACAGGCAATGTACACTGCATAAACTCCAAACACAGATAATTTACACTGCATAACCTCCAAACACAGGTAATTTACACTGCATAAACTCCAAACACAGGTAATTTACACTGCATAAACTCCAAACACAGATAATTTACACTGCATAAACTCCAAACACAGGTAATTTACACTGCATAAACTCCAAACACAGGTAATTTACACTGCATAAACTCCAAACACAGATAATTTACACTGCATAACCTCCAAACACAGGTAATTTACACTGCATAACCTCCAAACACAGGTAATTTACACTGCATAAACTCCAAACACAGGTCATTTACACTGCATAAACTCCAAACACAGATAATTTACACTGCAAACTCCAAACACAGGATTTACACGCATAAACTCCAAACACTGGTAATTACACTGCATAACCTCCAAACAGAAATAATTCACACTGCTCAAACAAGTTTATGCTTAAACAGTTATTTTGGTCAAAAAATGATCGTATACTTCACTGAACACACTAATTAACAACAGAACCTTAAATCTCGTTCTGAAGCCAATTTAAAACATCACTGCTGTAGTAAATGCTGGTGCTGTACTAAATGGTGTTTACTCTTACTGGCAGGTTGTGATGACCAGTAAAGAGCTGCCTAAGATGCAGGTCACACTGGAGAACGTGACGGCACGTCTACAGCGCTTCCAGTACCTGAACACACATGGCCTGTACAACGCTCTGCACCTACGCCAGCTCAGCGATGAGCTCCAGGACCTTCATCAGATCATCAGTGACACACACAGGGACAGGCCCAGCGCCGAAACTCAGAAACTAAGTACAGAGGTACAGACACGTTCCTGCATTCACACACAGGAACAGCAGGAGTGGATGTGGTGGTTAGGGATGTGCACAGGTGCTCGAGTACTCACTTCACCGCTCAAGGTGCCAGTATTCAAATACTGAAGTCACTATTCGGGTATTTGTTATGTCTCATCACATACATAATTACCATATTATTGGACAGAGATGCGCACTTTCACCAAAAATAATGATTTCAAATTTCTGGATGTTGCACAACATGCCGGGTGTGAATCACTGTCAGTGATGAGTTGACGCCTGTGTCTTCTGTGTACATACACAATGGACTTTTGAGGCTATTTATGTACATTGTAATGTAATGTCAGGTGGGTTATACAGAGCCCTCCACAAATATTAGCACCCTTGGTAATCATGAGCAAAATGAGCTGTTAAAAATATTATTAATTTCTTATTCTTTTTGATCTGTCATTCAAAATTTTAGCAGAAATCTAATCTTTATTTAATGTACAATAATTAAAAAAATATTACTAATATTCTTAGATTCTTAGAATTTCTTAGATATATGTGTGTCACAATTATTGGCACCCCTAGAAATTCTAATTAAATCTATTCCTATTCATATTTTATATTTTTAAGTTCACCTGAAAGATTAGGAACACTTAACTGGTCAGCTATGACTTCCTGATTCACCAGGGAAATATATGAGATGAAACATGGACCAAATTCCCTCAGTCCTCCATCAATATGAGAAAGACAAGGGAACACCGCAATGATGTATAGCAAAAGGTTCTTGGCTAGCACAAAACAGGAAATAGCTACAAGAAAAAGCTAAACAGTTGAAAATGCCAATTTCTATAATCAGGGCAATAATTAAGAAGCTCAAAACGACTAGAGATGTTAAGAATCTGCTGGGAAGAGGACATATCTCTATATAGACCTCACAAATAGTGAGGAGGATGGTTCAAGTGGACACAGAATCTCCAAGGATCACAGATGGGGAACTGTAGACATTAGTTAGGTCTTGGAGACACAAGGTCTCCCAAACTACAGTCAAACCCCACAAACTGTATATCAACAAACTCAAGCTCCTATAGTTTGCCAAACATTACTGGAACTTTCAGTGGGACCATGTTTTCTAGTGATGATTTATAGTGACCAAAATAAAGGTTCGTGGCAACAACCATCAAAGGTGAGTTTGGCAAGATAGCCATGCAGAAAAGTACCCGTGAAGTATGGTGGTGGATCTGTGATGTTGTGGGGCTATTTTACTTCCAAAGGCACTGGACTATTTATTGAGATACATGCTATCACAGACTCCATCATGTATGAGCAGGTATCTGCCTCAGCCAGAAAGCTTAAACCAGGCCATAGTCTGGATCTTCCAGCAGGATAATGATACAAAACACGCCTCAAAATCCACACAAAAATGGTTCACTCACCACAGCATTAAGATTTTGCCATGGCCACCACAGTCCTTTGACTTAAACCCTGTAGAAAACCTGAGGGATGAGCTGAAAAGGAAAGTCCACAGTATGGACCTTGGAACTTGAAGGATCTGGAGAGATTCTGAATGGAGGAATGGTCTCAGATCATTTGTCATGTGTTGTCCAGTCTCATTGTGCGTTATAGGAGAGGACTCAGAGCTGTTGTCTTTGCAAAGGGAGGCTGCACAATTGTGGCACACACAGATTTGAGAAAAATATTCATTTCCTGATAAGGTTGTTTTTTTCAATCATTATACTCCAAAAAAGGATAGATTTTTGTTAATATTTTAAATGAAAGATCAAAAAGATAAGCAATAAAATATGTTGCTTACAACCTGTTTTGCTCATGTTTACCAGGGGTGCCAATATTTGTGGAGGGCACTGTACATAATTACACTCATTGGAAATGTGTGCTTCAGTTGCAGAACGTTCAGAAGGATGTGGAGAAGATGTACACAGACAATGTCTTCAACTTGGAGTCAGTGAGGGAGAGGCTACGCTTCCTCAACAACCGTGCACAGACTTGCAGGAGCATTCCAGATGACTTCAGGAGTAAGGGTACTTATGTTTTTCTCTTCATCTGAGAGAAGAAGTCATTATTCAATGATACCTCAAAGTCATGTATGTCAGAGAGCTTGTGCAGCAACCTAAAGACCCATAGTCTAACTATTGGGTGTTAATTGAAAGATTAGCATATCGAGGCAGAGTTGCTATGGGGGACCTATGAGGATTAAAACAGTTAGCCGACTTGTTAAAAAATGTTCCCTATTGCCTTTTTAATGCCAAAAGTTTTGTACCACTCTCAGCATTAAAAAGTCAATAGGGAACATTTTTAACGAGTTGACGCTGGTAGTTGCAAGGCTAAGCCTGACTCCCTGGCTCCATCTTGGGCACCTGTGCAGTATCAGTCAAAGTTTAGGAAGTACCTACCCTGGAAGAACGAGACCAAGTGGTTTCCGGAAGTCACAGTGAACTGTCCTAAGATGTGATCTCGGTCTTTCAGGTTCCTGTTCTCATCGTATCATGACCAACATCAGCTCCCCATTGATCACCAAGCTGAGTCCATTTGGCAAGTCCTACACCTCGGGTGCCTGGGGCCGTGACACCAGCGCCGGCAGTGAGGAAAGGTATTGGGTCCAGCCTTTGGTCAACAGCCACAAGTTTGGCAACATCATCCGCTACTACCCGTCTTTTGAGGACTTCATGGCCGGCAGAAATCACCGGGATGAGTCCATTGCGCCCTCCAACACTCACACTGATGCGGTTCAGGGCCCAGGTACCATAATGTACGATGGTGTTGTGTACTATCAGTGCTACACCACGGCCGAGCTATGCAGCTACAACCTGCAGACCAAAAAGAACCAGCGCTTGAAACTGCCTGAAGCCGGAGTCAACAACAAGTTCCCATATTGCTACTACAACTGCCGCGACTGGACCGACATCGACCTAGCGGCCGACAGCGAGGGCCTGTGGGTGATGTATGCCACAGACAGCAACTACGGTAACATGGTTCTGAGCCGAGTGGACAGGGAAGGTTTCAATGTGACGCACACCTGGAAGACCAGGCTGTTCAAACGCTCAGTCACCAACGCCTTCATGGTGTGCGGGGTGCTGTACGCCACACGCTACGTCGACCAATACAAAGAGGAGGTGTTCTACGCCTTCGACACGTCTACGGGGCAGGAGGACAACACGCTGTCCCTGCCGCTGGAGAAGGTTTCAGCTGGCATTGCCAACCTCCACTACAACCCCACCGACATGAAGCTCTACATGTACAATGACGGCTACCTGCTGTCTTTCCAAGCTTTCTTCTGAGGAGAGAAGATGCTATGTAATGATGCAGGATATCACAGTTCAGACAGACTTCACTGCTAAAAGTGTAAAATACTGTGCGAAGGTCAGAGAGATTTAAATATAGGAAGGACCAACTGCATAATTAGGAGGGAAGTCAAAGGAAAATAGGTGGAAAAAAGTCAAAAGATTATTAAAATATAAAAAGACAAAGGGGACTCCTATCAACTGTGCACGACCTGGTCGACACCAAAACTGCCCCCATCAGATAAACAGCACTTAAAGCTTTCATCTTTGAGAGAGAGGAGAAAATCAAGCTGCTTCAGATCTGAAAACATCCACAGGTGTTTCTGTCCATCCTTCCACTGTGAGAAGACGACTCAGCGCTGTGGGTCTGAAAGGATGTGTAGCTGATCAAGAAGAACCTCACTGAGAAAAGGAGACGGACACATCAAACAAAGAAGGTGCTGGTGTTCTCAGGACAATGGACTGACCACCCCAGAGTCCACTCTTTATCTTTATTACAGCTTTCTTTCTTTTCAGGGGTGGACACACCAAATACTGAGAAAATAATATTATATTGAGCTGTTGAGGTTTCTGTGTAATTTTCAAACATCTATTTATTTCTGACTTTTAAAATGAATAACTTGTACTCAATGGCTATTTTGACTGGAAATTGAACAAACAATGGGAGGTCTCTGATTTTTGCACAGAAATGTTGTTATATTTTTCAGTGGAAAAGTCTGGATTTCAAAAAATAAACTATAAAAACTAAGATATTACAAGTTTCTTTAGATTATACAAGCTATGATGCAGACTGTCCCAATATTGTGTAACTTAGTGCCCTTAGTGGTGAAACAGAAGATGGGTGAAAACAGGTTTTTGCATTTTGTAGTTTACATTTTGTTTTACAATTCAAAAACAACTAGTTACTCAGGAAATTTGATTGAAACAGCAAAAATTTATTACTACAGTGTTATAAATAATTGCAATGACCATTACAATGATGTAACTCTGCATTAAACAGCACATTTAAATGATGCATCTCTGTTAATTCACTTGTAAATCACTGTGCGGCTGCACTAGTGCAAAATGAGTCTGTGGTGCCCCCTTGTGATTAACTTAGCTCAGGCAGAGGATTGGCTGTCATTTCTGGTCCACGGTGTTCGCTCACCCTCTTACGCAATGTTGAACCATTCTCTATTAACATGGCAAATAATCTCTCAGACGTATTACTAGTGAAATGACAAAGCAACATTACCTGCCAGTAAAAATGAGATCAGTTTACCATCACTATGAAGAAATCAGCCGATACATTACTCTACTATGAATCAATCAATTAGACCACTCTGACTGACTTTGTTTGATCAACTGTATCATGCAGAATATTGAAAAGATCTGGACATTGGAATCTTTTTGTAGTGAATGGGAAGTGGATGGGGACACATGCTGCTGTCCTTCAGCTCAGAACAGAACAGAACAGACCCTCAGATGGACAGGCCTCAGAGATGTAATTACACATGACTCATAACATTCAGAAAGCAGAGGATCCACTGAGCACTGAGTCATCAGGCAAAAGAGGCTGTAACTGGACAAGCCGGCAAAGGACAGGCTGCTCAAAAAGGGTCTTACCATATGCCTCAAGGGTTTGATAGAGGTTGCTATATCAACAACTCACTTTGAAAAGAAAAACGTCTGATTATGACCTGCTTTGTTTAAGCGATAGGGAAAGTGACATGGCGCTATAAATGTAGTCATATAGAGCTGTACATAAACATGTTAATGTAGCACTGGTTTTATAAGAGTTGTTGTGTTGTAGCAAAAGTGTTGAAACATAAATTAAATTTTTAAAGATTAAAGAGATTAAAGTCCATGTAAAGCAGAAATAAATGTGTTTGTCACACCACAGAAAGATGTTTTATTACCCATTCAGCCAAATTTGAATGATTAAAAAAATCAAAGTATGCAAAATTTTTCAAAATCATGAAAAAAAATAAGAAGTATTTTCCGCTCTGAAATGCTGGGGGCGTGTGCCTGCTGAAGGTGCGAAAGGTGGTGTCAAAGGAAGATCAGTGGGTCAGCGGTCCTGGCTGGCAGAGCACAGAGATCACACTGACTACAAGCGACATGTTATCTCACTGAATGTTTGTACGTCATGGCCAATGCTAAGAGAAAGACACTTGCTGGGAGCATCAAAAAGAGCCTGCACTCCCTCACAGCTAGCAGACTGTACAGTGCACTGTCTACAACGCAGATAGTGGTGCCATAAGCGTTTCTGTTGAAGAGAGCTGTTTTGATTTTGTATGTGATCACATGTGTTGAGATGAATTACTTAGCCTAGAAGATCAGGGAAATGTCACAGCTGCTTCAGTTAGGTGATGTTCAGCAGATCATACAGCTGCAAACCTAACGTCACCTACTGCCCAACATGTGGACATGGAACCTGTAGTTTTTCAGCTTCAGGTGAAACAAGCAGTGGAGTAGTTCATCAAGACATAAGTAGTGTCTCGCTCCCTGATTCAGTTAACACACACACTCAGTGAACAATACTCACAAAAAGGCCTGATCTCTATTAGAGACTTACCTTTACTGCAGTGCAGGGAGTTTAGGATCCAAGGGGGACAAACAGGTGACATCAACACTGACATCAGCTGCTGCAGCATCTGTAGACAGATAGGTGATGGTGTCAAGGAGGGCCACAGTGACACAGAAATCATCAGGAGCATTCTCTGCATTGTTGAACCAGGTAATTTTAAGGAAATGCTACTTAATAAGAAAAAATATAACTCACCGATTTAAAAAGCTTTCTTCAGTCACATCTCAATGAACGGAAAAGCAGTGAACTCTTTCAAGCCTTAATGTGTGCAAAGCAGCATGATCAGGAAACGTTCCTTTATCGACTTCCAGGATTAAGGCAGAAGTACTCTTTGCCTCAAAACAGACTAATGCTGACATATGACTCTTTGATGGTGCAGTGCGTGTTTCTTCAGTCCCTTTATCAGGGATTTGGTATTAAGTACGGAGGCGTGCGGAGGAGTTAAAAGCTCTTATATATGACACATCTGTCCCAGACAAAGAGCTCTTACACCAAGTGACTCAGACCATGAGCGACGAAAGTTAAAGACAGAGAAGGCTGGGACCAAACTTCAAGGGCAAGCATACCCACATCAGCAGTGTTCAGTTGGATCACAAGAGGCTAAGGCAGGGAGTGTCATCCAGCACCACCACTCAAACACTTAGGTATCCACGTTAATGAGTGTGGTTGACTCCTTAAGGCACACAGTCCTGCCAGTGTTCACAAGTATGCTCCCAGCCACAAAAAAAAGAGCTGCCAGAGGTGTTCCGAACAGGGTGTGGTCATCTGTAGCCATTGCTAGATCAGAAGAAAGGGGGAACCTGGAGCCAGTCACTGAGAAGGGACAAGGAATGACTGATTTTCACCTCAAGTCTATCCATTTCCTGCCTTAAGCCTGCCAGGTTTTCACTAAACCACTCGCTTGAAGAACAGACCAACACTTCTCACACCAGTCCTCAGTTTACACATTTAGTTAAGCACCAAATCAAACCACCGACCCTCAGAAGTAATCAGCCAGCACCCACTGAGATTGCCTGTCTGGTTGGGGGAAAATGTTTGCTGCAGTGCTACATCAATGTCAGTGTACTATTGGACACGGGTGCTCAGGTCAGCATGCTGAATGTTGCACATGAAAGGAAGAATATCTGCGAAACCTTACAGTGAGGCCCCACAACAACATTAAAGGGAAGCCTAGATGTTGTTACAGTTAAGGGAGGTGCCATACCATATGATGACTGGGTTGAACTGCAAGTTGACCTCCCTGGAAATGATGGTCCAAGTCTATTCATCCATGTGTTATTCCCGGTCAGCCACATGTCGCTTGAAGAGGCCACTGCTCAGTATCAAGTATCAATGGAATGGTTGATAAGAAATTACTCCAGAGAGATGCAAAACGGCACTGCAACTCTTTTAAGTCTACTGAGTCATGCTATGGGCATCCATCAAGAACAAGCAACAGCTATTGTGAATGCAGTTCAAGCACAGTCCTCTCTGGAAGAGCATATCATCATTCCTTGGGGTAAAATGATAGCATCAGGTATAGAATACCTCCCACCATGGATTCCTCACAATGAAATGTTGTAGCATTCTACAGCTGAGCATCTAGAATCAAGCAGAGGCGTAGTGGAACTTTTTGGTGCTCAAACAACTTGAAATATTGAAATTTCAATCTTCAATATTTCACATTTCAAAAATTATTTTCAGGATCTTCTGGCTTGAGGATAGAAAAAGAAATCAAAATCTGCTTATTTACCCCTAGTGGTCTGCATCCGGAAGAAGAATGGTGTTGAGCTTTCAACAGGGTCTCCCTACGTGATGAATGTTGCCTCCCCTATCTTGAAGACCTCTTGTGCTAAGCGAAAAGCTTTGAACAACATGTGGTGGGGCTTCAGCATGTCCTAAGAGCACTGAAGACTTCTGGAGGGAAGCTGAGACCAACAAAGTGCAAGCTTTTCAAGTGAGAGGGTCATTATATATTCTCGTTTATATATCCTGGCATACCCAGATTTCAGTTTACCATAGGTTCTCATACCAGTGCCTCCACATTTCATCCTCTACACGGACAACAACCCATTGACCTATGTCATGAAGACAGCCAAGCTGAATGCTGTAGGCCACCAATGGGTTGGAGACCTCACTGAATCAAACTTTGACACCAAATACAGGCCTGGAAAAATCAATGTGGATGCAGACACTTTGTCCCAATGGACATTGAGCAGTATGTAAGCAGGTGTCCAGAGAAGATGCCCATGGATGATGTTTGTGCTGTGTGGCAAGGTAATGATGCCACTTGGAAGAGAGATGTCCCTTTAGTTGCAGTTCTAAATATCACCACCTAAGGTGACCCAGACACAAGCTTTTTCCATGGCTCACTAAAAAAAGTCAGTCATAGAGAACTTGAAGTGGGACAAAGAGAAGACAGCACAATTTGAAAACTGCTAAGGCTGAAAGAAGCCAATGTGACACCAGTGAAGTACGGAAGCAAGCACAAGGCCACATCAAGAAACTACTCTATGAATGGGGAAAGTTACATCTGGAAATGGGTCTCACATGGAGAAAGACTAACCTGAGGAAACAGACGGTACTACCAGCAAAGTACCGGTCAGCAGTCTTGCGACATCTCCACAAAGACATGGACCGTGTCGGAGTGGAGCATGTGCTAGGTCTGGCTAGGGATCAGTTTTATTGGCTGTATTTGAGGAAAAAAAACAAAGCATATAACATGGAAATGCCTAAGCATTAAACAGAAGAAAACAGCTATGCATGTGAGAGCACCCATCTCT